GGTTCAGTATGAGGGAAATGTTTAACTTTATTTTGCGACAAATTGGTTGCTTTTATCAAGTTGTTCACACTACCAAATAACGCGGGACCTTTGTCACTGTATTTTGTTTTCAACAATTTTTCTTCAATCTTGGTAATTTTCCCATTGTTTTGTTTTCGCCTTCGTCTTTTCTGACGTTGGAGAATCTGAATCGTTATAGGGCGTTCCGTACGAGTCAGAGCCTTCTTCTGACTCTTTTTCACGTTTTTGTTTTCGGGTTTTTCTATTGTCGCTAAGGCTTTTTCTTTTTTGTTTTTTACTTCTCTTAAGGTTTGGACTACTTCTTCCCTGCCAAGCGGGGGATGTTGCGCGTGTTCTTGAGGGCCCGGGTTCTCGTTTCTCTTGAGCGTTAAAAGACGCTGACTGAACCGCGTGTTTGTCATTTCGATTTATTACCAGCTTTTCATTCAAGTTGAGAGCAGTTAAAATGATAATGAACGCCGGGTTATGTAGTTTTTTTGTTGGTTGTTGTATGTCGTCTAAAAATATTGCAGCTTTAAATCGTTTTGGTACTTTATTCACATATATCACCTCATTGTCATGGTTTATGGTTACTCTTTCTGATTTTTTTATGATTTCAAGTATGGTTTTTCCTCTAATATATTTTTTTCCCTCTAAAACCTGTAACTGTCCCAAATTACTTTCGGTCTGACATTCGTTTTTCTCTTCTAATATTTCATCTTTATCACGTTCGACCTTTACTTCTTCATCGTCCGTTAACAGTTCAAGCTGTTCTTGTTGGGGCTCAGCAGCATTTTCCGTAAATGTTCCCTTCGTTGCAGTAGTCTTACTAGTTTGAGGAGGTAATTGGGGTCTAAGCCGGTTAAGGTAGGATAGTTGAGCGTTTTTATCTTTAATAGCATTATTGTGAAGAACACGTGCAGCATGTGGCTGCTCTTTTATATATAAGTGTTTCGGAATTAGAACGAATTCTTCAGCAGTCATGATTAAGTTGTGAGGTACTTGTAACAAAAATAAAGTATTTGCCGCACTAAATGAAAACCTTCTTTACTCAGTATAAGCGCACGTTTTTTGACAACACTAGTTTTTGGAGTGATTAAGTATTTGTATGCTGTCTCAAATTGTTCGATATTTGCGATTTTAACGGGTACGTTTCCATTGACTACATTGAGCAAACATTCACAAATCAGTGTTATGATCTCGCGATTGGAAGTTTTTCTAATTAATCGTCTTAATTGGTCAGGTTTCAGTTGTTCCATATGCCGCAGAGTAGATACGTTTTTCTTTTTCATTTGTGATTGGAGTAGTTTCTGCTTTAGATAAGGGTAAATAAAAAACTGTTGGCCCAGGCCGTATGATATTTGAACAATATCTCAAACAATCTGATGTGCGGGGGTCCAAGTCGATTAGAAGATGTCCAAAAGAGTCTCGGGTAGCTAATTCGTAACAGCTTCTCAAAAATTTTGATACATTCAATTGTCTTCCTAAAAGATCTAGTTGCTGAACGTCACGAGGCGATTTGAACAGAATGATGTGTGAAGTATTCAAATCAATCGTACGCGACCATCGACTTTGTTGAAACAACTTATGCTTAACATATATTACATCTATCCCTCTATGTCTACCTGCTGTCGCTAATCTAACAAACTCCTTGTCATTATAGAGGTCTTCACATGAATCATCGAAAACTAGAAGAACATTTTCTAAATTTCAAGATTCGAATCCGTTGAATTTCATGAACTTCACATTTACTTCGTGAGAAGACACTTTTTCTGAGAATGCAGGTTGTATCTTTTTGTAAAGATTTAGAACGGTTCCAAATTTAGGGTAAAAAGTATTTCCCATCAAAATTTTGAAAATTAACTCAGTTTTCCCGGATCCTGAGGGTCCCACTATCGCCATGAAAACTCTTGTCGAAGTATCACTCCTTTTATTCATATCCTCGGATTTGGTAATACATAACCAACCAATCCGGATTAAATCGGAAACCAAACTGAAGTTTCTTCGCAACTTAATTTAGTGACAGAAAGTTTGAGAATGCAGAAAGTTAATAAAATTAGAATTACTACCATTTGCGCAACAAAAACTACTTCAGACCTTGGCAAAGTTACATTGTTACAAAACTTCCATGATTATTTTTCACTGTTTGTCTCGTTATAAACAAACTCTGTTGCTAATGTCGCGTCAGGTTCATCTACTGCAGTTGCTGTGTCTGACATTTGAGATCTGATTTTTTCTACAGACTGTGTTAGACTTTTTCTCACTGTAAATGAAGCTTGTAAAAAAACAATAAATTGAATTAGTATTATGAACAGTACAAAATTTCATAACGTGTGAAGTCTCTATCATTTATGTCATGCAGTTCTAGAACAAAATTTGCTGGGACATTTGCAGTTTTTTCATAGTACATTATTTTCTTCACAGTATCCTCTTTCACTATCCTCTTAATCTCATCTGGCAATTCACTGCTGTTTAGATCCATCTGAACTCCTGGTTGACAATTGGGTACTAAAACTAGTTCGGGAAGATATACTCCTCGCTTGCTGGCTAACATTTCTGATAAACTTGAATCTCTGGAAGTAAACAAATTGATCAATAACTGGAAAAAATCTCTTTAAGGTAGACAACTCTTCTTCGGAAATTATTATTTGCTCCTTCCTCTGTACAATTTGGCCGCTGCAATCATTACGCTCTATTCTTGTTAATGAAATTTTAATATCACCCTCTGGAGTCATCCACGCACAAAGCATTGAATTTGGTGATAGGTATGTCTCCAGTTTCGCTGATCTCTCGCTGTTGTTCATTTTTCAACCAATCATAAAAAACCTTGCTTTTTTTCAGGGCACAATGATTCCTGGAGTTGTAATGAGGTATATGTCTAATGCAACTTAGATAATTTTTGAAAAATAAGTTTTCAACCCGAGGACAGCCCAAATCATCTAGGTTTTCAACCTTTCGGTCCAAGTACTTGGCCAAACATTCTGTCTTTTCTTTTCCTTTAGCGTAAAAAACGGCACTGGGATTTCTCAACACAAAACTCTGAAGTATTTGATTCACGTTTACGTAAAGGTAATCACCGTTTTCCCAATGGAGACCGTGTAAATAATTCGTTAACCAGTTGTAAGCTTTTTGTTCGAGCTTTGGTGGTATTTGAAATTCACTGGACTTAAAAAAAATGAGTCGGTCGCTGTAGTCTGAAGTTGTTATTGCTAATTCTTTAACCACAAAGGCGTTTTTCTTGGAACGAAAGCCTTCCACGTCAAGCACAACTGATCTCTCGCCTAGCATTCTAGTAAAGATAAATTTCTGGTTTTTTCAACTTAATGAAAAGGCAGAACGCTATTCCACTCAAATGTTCCAATAAGCTGTTGTCACAGTTCCAGGGGAACATGTAACAGTACGTGGGACCCTGTTGATAAAATTCGTGTATAAATCCGGCCGCATCGTGCAAAATAGCGTGCAATCGTAAAATTTTCGAATTTTTGAAGTATTTGTCCAAGGAAGAGTTATCAATACCAATCAAGCCACCAAAAGGTCTCAATTTAATTAAAATGTCGTAGTTAAGGTTATCAGAACTAACAAAAAACAGAGAACATGCAGCTAGAAAATAGTTGCGTTGGTTAAAATTATCAGGATAAGTTTGTTTCGAAGACGTATAAATTTCGTGAATTATTTTTAAATCAATAGGAGTTACTCTGCTTTTTTTGCAATTTCATTGTTTATTTTTTTCCAAAACCTCTCCAACCTGCTGAATTTCAAGCCAGTAGAAATAAAAGTGACCTTGTAGATACCATTTAGACTCATTAAGATAACGGTGGTAAATAATTAAATAAACACCCGGATGTTTTTTGTATTTTGATAGCTTGTTGAAACATAGACGGATTTTTCTCTCCAAGTCTTTATCAACCCATATTGAGTTAAAGTCAAAGGAATAGTCGAATACGTTTTCATAATCAGCAATATTCAAATCGCTCACAGTACCATACTTTTGTTTTGTAGAAATGCACCAAGAGATTTGTTGAAGCTCACTCAAATAAAATTGTTCTTTGAAAATTAACTCGTATTCTTTCTTTGAAATTTCCTTTGCCCTTTCGAGGAAGACGACGTAGCGTTCATTACTAAATTTGAAAAATGAGTTTTTTTCTGCGGTTGAAAACACTCTTAATTGTAAATGTTCATTATCAATATCTTCAGTACACCAAGTTCCCTCTAATTTCATTTTTCTTATTTCAAAATTTGACAAATTTATCATTTGGTATATTTTGCCCAGAAACGGCCGCCGCCTTTGGAGAGTAATTTCAATTTAGTGCCTTTTCACCATAAAATATAGGTCAAGTTAAGGAATTAGCTTACTGCTGTCAACAGTTGAGCTACGCTGCCAAAATCGCCGGCGAATTTTTATTATATACCATAAAAGTCAATTCCACTTTCACTAACCAATTTCAACTAGGTCGAAAGTTCATTTGGCCGAAACAAATATAACAATTAATATGATTCATATAATTAACCAGGACCAATAATTAGGACCCCAAAATTTGGAATTAGAAAGAATTTTGTAGCGTGACCCTTGTTGTTAAGCTAAACTTGGCAAGATCCTAAGTAGGGGGTCTTCTGCTTTTTGGGTGGAAAATTTCTTTCGTTCACAAAATCCTAGGATGAGGGTCCTCCAAATATTTAAGGACCCCTTTTCTAGGATTTTGCTTTACGTGAGGACCCCCCCCCCCCTTAGGAAGGACCCCCCCCCCCCCCCCCCTTTAGGATCCGGGACACGATACAATACTACTAACAACAGAAATCAAACATTCAAAATTGCACTAATGAAATTGGAAAAACCGAGGAGAGTAGTTTTTCGTTGAAAAAATCCAATAATTTTATTCTTTAGTGTCATGTCGCTCAACAAAATCTTAAGTTTTTGGAGTTTTGAGCCTGGTTTGCTAATAAGTTGGTGTAAACCAGTTGGCAGCTTGATTTGTGATAATATATCTTGTCCGAGAGTTCAGGCTAACAGACGGAGGAGGGACGCCAGATTTAGTCCTCTTTTCTGAAACGACCAGTCAAGATACAACAAAAGTATTTACATACCCAATCTTATCAGGGATCTCTTTAAATGTTGCCTCTCTATTGCCAAAGCAGAGGATTTTTTAAGAGGTACAAAGTTCGAATGTGCTTAACAAGGTTTGGCCGATTTATCCGCACGGGAAAGGACAAGCAAAGGAGCTGTATCTTTTTTTTCTTGAAAAACTGATGTTGTGACACTGGCTAGAAATTACATGCGCTTTTTCGGTTGAATAAAATAGTCTTTAAATGGGTGGAAACTCTTTATTAGGTACCATAGAAGGGGGATAGTTAAAGAGATCCCATATCAGAGTTCGATCACAAGTTTCATCCGAATTTAATGCTCTACATTGCAAGAGTCGACGCCGGCCAAGGGGCTCATATTTTACCACGTGATTATCTTTATGGAGTAAGCAAGTTTGATAAATTTGTCCTCGGAAGTTTGCCTCAAAGAGTCGACTTTGGAGCTCTTGGAATAACCGAACTGAAATTTAACTGGTTTTGGTACGAATGTATTATAAACGACGAGACTAAACTGTGTGGCAATTTCCAAGTTGACAAACAAACCAATGAAGTGTGGCAACAAATGAAATGTCATCAAATCAAAAATTCAAGAATCTGTCAATTATGTTTTCTGCAGTTTTATGGCTTACATTCTAAAAAAGACAGAGTAATCCAGCGCTGTGAAAATAAAGATGAACCAAAAAATCTTCAGGTGGTTAAGTGTACTTATGATTGCCCTCGAATGTATGATGGAGTGTCGGATCAACAGTTTGCAGATGATTTTGCCGGTTATGTCATATGTGATACAAAACACCAAGTTGCTCAATCCTGTTATAAAAACGGAACTGCCAAATTTCAGCTGAGAGAATCTAAAGTTGGGTCGAAACAATCTGAAGAAGGACCCACTAACCTTCTCGATCCAATAAAGTCACCAGGTTATCTCAATTTTCAAAAAATATTTTCAAAAACTAACATTCAGCAAATCAGTTCAGTAAAAATTTTTCATACGTTAATGAACAACGGGCATTTTTTCACCGTTTTTTTCAGACTAGAGTTGAAAACTGTGCACGTAAAACTCAAATCGATTGCTGATTGTAGGTAAATTACGTTCTCGAATAAGAGGTGCAAACAACCGGAAACGCTTTTTAGTTAAGTTTCGACTTTTTAACTAGCCATTTGTGACAAAGTTTTGGCTTATCATCTTAAAACAATTGATGTCCCGAGCTCATTCTAAGAAATATAATTTATTTGTGTAATTGTTTCACGAAATTAAGAAAGTTTGAAAATTGCTATTTTGACCAATTGGGATATTCAACGCGTGATATACTTCGTGTTATCGGCACTCGAGCCGCGTTTTAATCCGGCTTAAAAATCATTTCAAATTGAATTGACACATGCTAGTTGCTCTAAATATAACGTTATTTTATGCTTAAAATAACACTATGTACTTAAAATAGCGTGTGCGTGTCTCAAAAAAAACACACTAAAAAATTAATCACACCAAAAATATCCCGTTTTGTTTTCATAATTTCATTATTTTCAAGTCGATCACGATTCAATACTTTTAAAAAAACATTTTGATATTTTTTGCGCTTATCTGTTGTCGTTGAAATTGACATGTTGTTGAACCACCTAGTCAAAAAACGTTTTGTCCTCAACTGCAAGATCGTTTTATTATAGTCATAGTTTTTTTCAGGCAAAACATTATCGCGAAAAGCATATGTTAGACTTTTTTCAACTTTCTCTTGTTCGGTTATCGATAAAATCTGATAAAAAGCTGTATAAAACATGCAAAAAAAATTATAAAAAAAACTTGATAAAATCAAATTTAATCCTTTTAAATCAATTTTAATGTTTCTAAAATCCTTGCAAAAGTAATTCAAAAAGCTACAAAGTAACTTAGAACTGATTTATAAAAGATTCTAAATCGATATAAACTCGATTGAAAATAATTTTTCTTGATGTAATTTAGAGAAAAACAAAAATAATTTTTAATCGATTCAAACCAATTTTCTAAGTCTTTGCCATCGTATTTGTATTAAATCGATTGCAATCCATTTTTTGTTAGTACGGGTCAAAGAACTACATCACTGAAATCTCGGTGGTTAACACATATGGACGTGGTGCGTTCTTATATAGGTTTTGGTGATTTTTTCTGTTTTAATATCAGGAAAACGTATCTAAATGTGTTCAAGCTGAGTTTTGGTTTTTCGGTGTTTGATTTTTGATTTTTTTCAAGTTCAATTGATTTCATTTGATGAAAGAAAGGCAAACTCCACTATCCAACAGCAAAACGTGTTGATTTTTAATTATAAAAAGGGTTTTTAAGTATCAGATTTCCCAGCGAAAAAAAATCTTATTTATTGATCTTGCCTTTTTCTAACAGATTTGAATCATTTGATAAGTTTCCGACTTGAATGATCCTCTGCAAGAGCAGCCTCGTACGACGCTTGGTCACTCTCCATTGCTTGCTAGTTTTTGAAAATACACAACGTCTTTGAACCAATAAAACGAACCATAAAACGAAAAGCACTAGTAAGTACCTCTGTGGTAGTGCGAACAAAAGCGTAAGGTAAACACGATCCAATGCGAGACATGCTCAATTTTGTACCACCAAGCAAGCACGAAAATTCCAGCCTCTATAATTGCTCTTCATTGCAATAATGCTCTTTGTTGTAATATTATAATGGTATCTTTTTTGCCCGTTATTATGGCCAAATTACAGAAGTAACTAGAAAACTAAGTATATATGAACTGATACAAGGAGTGCTGTAGTTTCGGTGACTCGTGATAAGTTTAATCTCAAAGTCGATGAAACAACAACAGAAATCAAAAATTCAAAATTGCATTAACGAAATTGGAAAAACCGAGGAGAGGAGTTTTTCGTTGAAAAAATTCAATAATTATGTTCTTGAGTTTCACTGTCGCTGAAAGGATTCTTATGTTTTTGGAGTTTTGAGCCTGGTTTGCTAATAAGCAGTTGCTCATAAAAAGTTGGTGTAAAGTAGTTGGCAGCTTGATTTGTGATAACACGTCTTGTCTGAGAGTTCAGGCTAACAGACGGGTGAGGGACTCCAGATTTAGTCCTCTTTTCTGAAATGACCAGTCAAGATACAACAAAAGCATTAACATACCCAATCTTATCAGGGATCTCTTTAAATTTTTCCCCTCTATTGCCAAAGCAGAGGATTTGTTAAGAGGTACAAAGTCCGAATGTGCTTAACAAGGTTTGGCAGATTTGTCCGCATGGGAAAGGAGAAGCAAAGGAGCTGTATCTTTTTTTTTCTTGAAAAACTGATGTTGTGACATTGGCTAGAAATTACATGCGCTTTTTCGGTTGAATAAAATATTTTTTAAATGGGTGGAAACTCTTTATTAGATACCATAGAAGGGGGATAGTTAAAGAGATACCATATCAGAGTTCGATCACAAGTTTCATCTGAATTTAATGCTCTACATTGCAAGAGTCGACGCCGGCCAAGGGGCTCATATTTTACCACGTGATTATCTTTATGGGGTAAGCAAGTTTGATAAATTTGTCATCGGAAGTTTGCCTCCAAGAGTCGACTTTGGTGCTCTTGGAATGACCGAACTGAATTTTAACTGGTTTTGGTACGAATGTATTATAAACGACGAGACTAGACTGTGTGGAAAATTCCAAGTTGACAAACAAACCAATGAAGTGTGGCAACAAATGAAATTGACATGTTGTTGAACCACCTAGTCACAAAAACGTTTTGTCCTCAATTGCAAGATCGTTTTGTTATAGTCATAGTTTGTTTCAGGCAAAACATTATCGCGAAAAGCATATGCTAGATTTTTTTTCAACTTTTTTATTGTTCGATTATCGATAAAATCTGATAAAAAGCTGTGTAAAACATGCAAAAAAAATTATACAAAACAGGGAAAAAATCAATTTTAATCTATTCAAATCAATTTTAATGTTTCTAAAATCCGTATAAAAGTAATTTCAAAAAAGCTACAAAATAATTTAGAACTAATTTACAAAAGATTCTAAATCGATATAAACTCGATTGAAAACTAATTTTTCTTGATGTATTTTTGAGAAAATCAAAATTAATTTCAAATGGATTCAAACCAATTTTCCTAGTCTTAGCCATCGTATTTGTATTAAATTGATTGCAATCTATTTTTTGTTAGTACGGGTCAAAGAACTACATTACTGAAACGGTGGTTAACAGTTATGGACGTGGTGCGTTCTTATATAGGTTTTGGTGACTTTTTCTGTTTTGTTATCAGGAAAACTTTTTCTGTTTTGTCTCACGCTGAGTTTTGGTTTTTCGCGGTTTGATTTTTGATTTTTTTTTTTCAAGTTCAATTGGTTTCATTTGATGAAAGGAAGGCAAACTCCACTATCCAACAGCAAAACGTGTTGATTTCTAATTATAAAAAGGGTATTTAAGTATCAGATTTCCCAGAGACAAAAATCTTAATTATCGATCTTGCCTTTTTCTAACAGATTTTAAATATTTGATAAGTTTCCGACTTGAACGATCCTCTGCAAGAGCAGCCTCGTACGACGCCTGGTCACTCTCCATTGCTTGCTAGTTTTTGAAAATACCCAACGTCTTTGAACCAATAAAACGAACCATAAAACGAAAAGCACTAGTAACTACCTCTGTGGTAGTGCGAACAGAAGCGTAAGATAAACACGATCCAATGCGAGACATGCTCAATTTTGTACCACCAAGCAAGCACGGAAATTCCAGTCTCTATAATGGCTCTTCATTGCACTAATGCTCTCCGTTGTAATATCATAATGGTATCTTCTTTGCCCGTGATTAGGGCCAAATTACAGAAGTAACTGTATAACTTAGTATATATGAACTGATACAAGGAGTGCTGTAGTTTCGGTGACTCGAGATAAGTTTAATCTCAAAGTCGATGAAACAACAACAGAAATCAAAAATTCAAAATTGCACTAACGAAATTGAAAAAACCGAGGAGAGAAGTTTTTCGTTGAAAAAATTCAATAATTTTGGTCTTGAGTTTTAATGTCGCTGAAAAGATTCTTATATTTTTGGAATTTTGAGCCTGGTTTGCTAATAAGCAGTCGCTCATAAAAGTTGGTGTAAACCAGTTGGCAGCTTGATTTGGGATAATATATTTTGTCCGAGAGTTCAGGCTAACAGACGGAGGAGCGACTCCAGATTTAGTCCTCTTTTCTGAAATGACCAGTCAAGATACAACAAGCATTTACATACCCAATCTTATCAGGGATCTCTTTAAATCTTTCCTCTCTATTACCAAAGCAGAGAATTTGTTAAGAGGTACAAAGTTTGAATGTTGTTAACAAGGTTTGGCCGATTTATCAGCACGGTAAAGGACAAGCAAAGGAGCTGTATCTTTTTTTTCTTGAAAAACTGATGTTGTGCCACTGGCTAGAAATTACATGCGTTTTTTCGGTGAATAAAATAGTCTTTAAATGGGTGGAAACTCTTTATTCGGTACCATAGAAGGGGGATAGTTAGAGAGATCCCATATCAGAGTTCGATCACAAGTTTCATCCGAATTTAATGCTCTACATTGCAAGAGTCGATGCCGGCCAAGGGGCTCATATTTTACCACGTGATTATCTTTATGATTAACTTTATGGTTGATAAGTTTGTCCTCGGAAGTTTGCCTCAAAGAGTCGATTTTGGTGCTCTTGGAATAACCGAACTGAAGTTTAACTGTTTTTGGTACGAATGTATTATAAACGACGAGACTAGACTGTGTGGAAATTTCCAAGTTGACAAACAAACCAATGAAGTGTGGCAACAAATGAAATTGACATGTTGTTGAACCGCCTAATCGCAAAAACGTTTTGTCCTCAATTGCAAGCTCGTTTTATTATAGTCATAGTTTGTTTCAGGCAAGAAATTATCGCGAAAAGCATGTGTTAGATTTTTTTTCAAATTTTTATGTTGTTCGATTATCGATAAAATCTGATAAAAAGCTGTGTAAAACATGCAAAAAAACTGGAAAAAAAATTCAATTTTAATCTATTTAAAGCAATTTTAATGTTTCTAAGATCGGTATAAAAGTAATTCCAAAAAAGCTACAAAATAATTAAGAACTGATTTACAAAAGATTCTAAATCGACGTAAACTCGATTGAATACTAATTTTTCTTGATGTGTTTTTGAGAAAAACAAAATAGTTTCAAATGGATTCAAACCAATTTTCCTAGTCTTAGCCATCGTATTTGTATTAAATTGATTGCAATCTATTTTTTGTTAGTACGGGTCAAAGAACTACATTACTGAAACGGTGGTTAACAGTTATGGACGTGGTGCGTTCTTATATAGGTTTTGGTGACTTTTTCTGTTTTGTTATCAGGAAAACTTTTTCTGTTTTGTCTCAAAATGTGTTCACGCTGAGTTTTGGTTTTTCGCGGTTTGATTTTTGATTTTTTTTTTTCAAGTTCAATTGGTTTCATTTGATGAAAGGAAGGCAAACTCCACTATCCAACAGCAAAACGTGTTGATTTCTAATTATAAAAAGGGTATTTAAGTATCAGATTTCCCAGCGAAAAAAATTTTTAATTATTGATCCATTTTTCTCAAATTGAGTTATTTACATGAGAAAATTGTCATTCTTAACTTGTTCTAGAAGTTCAAAGCTTATGGCTATCTATTTTTTCTTTTTTTTTCTTGGTTGAGATTTTTCAAAAAAAAAAACAATTCAGTTTTTCTATTTCTTTGCGTTCATGTTTCTTTTCCAACTGTCAGTTGGCTAGTTTTGATTTTTGAATAAGCCGCAAAATAATATGGCAAGTTGTTGAAAAAAAAATCTTTTCGGGCTCAGAAAGCGGATTAAGGTTTTCCCCAAACCCCTCAGAAAGTTGAGATATTGACAAACAAATGGTTCTTATTTGGTGCAATTCTATTCTAGTTTTTTCGGGATATCGTTCATAGCGCCAATATCTACTAATAATATCTACTAGTTTGACATATTAAACAGTTAAACAAATCAGATTGATTTTTTGGCACGACAGTGTCTGTATGGTGTTCAGGAAAATCAGTTTAACTGAATTCCACCTCGAGGAAATCTTTGATCCGTTTTTTTTTTCGTTTTTGTTTAGTTATAAAAAACAAAGTTTTTTGGCGCATGCAATGCAGTATTCCATTTTGAAAAGAGCTATTTCAACATTAAGTTTCCGTATTCGGCTAGAAAAAAAATGAACGAAAATACTAAGTTTCTTAGATTGATTATATTTAGGGGATGAAGCAATCGAGGATCCACCTGGAGGCAATATACAAAGTAACGGATCTGCAAACAATTTAGAAAAGGACGGGAATGTTCTCGACTTTGACGACAGAGGGAAAAATCTATGCCATCTGCGGTCATTATCACATCAAATCATGCTGACATCCGTATTAATATTTTTTTAAAACTTCCACATTTGACATCAGATACGAGGGATAATCACGGTTATGGTTATGATTTATTAACAAATATAATGCTCGTCCAAAGAAAAAATTAACATATTGAAAGAAACAGATTTTTATCTACAAGAAGATTTCTGTAAATGGACTGATAAGTAAATTGATAGCTTTAACCAACTCGCAATTGTTCGGCAAAGAACTAAATTGCATTTGTTTGGTAACGTGTATAAAGACCTAATTCAAATCAGAAACTTTAATTCAATTTTTTTGACAATCATTTTTGATTAGTTTCACGGACCCTAACAAAATTTGAAATCGCAAAAAAAACTGAATTGACGGATTTGATTTGAATTTGACCAAAGAGACTGAAACAAAATTGAAATTGATATCACATAAATCAGCGCCTACATTCTCCGCATTAACACTTACGAAGGTTGGCTCAAGTTTCGAAAAACTAAGAAAAAACAGATTTTTTATAACAGATGCGCCACAGGTAATTTTCTGACCGAAAAGGCAGCTTGGTAAAATTTAGCTGAAAACTTTGCTTTTTCGACAACAGTTTGTGTTTACTGAGTGTTTCGAGAAAAGTCTTTTTTAAAAGTGCTGGCATCATGAGATATATACGTGACAATAAGCATCACTGATATTCAAAACAAGACTACTCGTATCAGGGTGAAGCCAAGAGGGTTCCGACTGCATTTGAAGGTCTATGGAGTACTGTTTGCTTGAAAAGTTAAAGAAAATTTTCAAAAGACCGAAAGCTATTCAAAAACTTTTGAGTAAAAGTTTTTGAAAATCAACCCGCTCACGCTATGTAAAGTACAAAGTGATATATTTTGCATATAATGAATTAATAAATAGACCAAAAAGCATACTCATATCAATCTAGAACAATTTCTTAGACGGATAAAATTTTCGCTTGCGCGTTATTAGCACAAAATATACGGCGCGTTAATTATCCCATTGCCACTGGTCAAATTGGCAATCTTTAGACCCTAATAACGGGGTGCGTACAGTAAACCGATGTGACTGTAAATTACCACATCAGTAAACCGAATTACGTAATAATTAGATTAAATGCGGAAGTAAAGTTTCATAGAATAATTTAACTCTGAGCTAGAACAAAAATTTTAAAACTACGGGACTCATGGGAACTTTGTTTCAGTTTTTGATTCAATTTTTGTTTTGATGAACAAAATTGTCATACTGTAAAAATCTCAGTTTTTAGCTGATGTGATTACGTAATTGAATCATGAAGTTTTGGTTTACTGATCTGGTGCGACAGTTTTCGGTTTACTGATACATTGATATATTGACCTACCACCCCTCAAAATATATGATGAATTTTTTTAAATCAAAACAACATTACCTTTCGATTTATTTAAGTTGCTTCAAAAATGATGGTAAAAAGTTCAAAATTTGTCTGGAGAAAAAAAAACGCCTGAGCACAAGTTTTTCTTCATTTCGGAACAAAAAAAAACAAAAAAAAATCGGAACTAAAATCGATTGGCGCTGTAAAAACGATGTACCAAATTAATAGTGAGTAAGAGTTTCCTTCAGCTGTGCGCAGAATTATGCCTCGTGTTCAATGAGATTGAATAAATTCTACGGGCTGTCATTCTAGGCCATATTAGTAGTAAAAACACTGTAAATTACCAAACAGATTTCTATGATCTGTATGTCGTCCACATTTCCAACTTTTAAATCGGCTTGATGAAAAGCTTCATTAGTTTATAAGAAAGAGACTTTTTTAAAACAAGGTATGTTGGCGTGAAGGCGCCTTTAAAAGTTTTACAGACTAGTTAGGCAAAATGGTTGTCGTGAAAATGCTCCAATTGATGAATGTTAAAAAAATCCTGAACGTTCCATAGACTTTTGAAGATTCAGGGTTGTTTATACGAAGACACTTATTTAAAATAACGTCTTTTTGCATCAAGGCACCCTTAAAACCTTTAAAGACCAATTAGCCAAAATGGCTATCTTGAAGTACTGCCAAATAATGAACATTCCATAAAAATTCTGAACGTTCCATAGACTGAAGCATTAGTGATAGCTAAATAGCGCTCAAAACTCATTTTGGAACTTTTTTACGCCCCTCCACAGCCAAAAGCATACCGAGTAAATATGTTTCAATTAATTCTTGTAGAAAATCAGGATCAAGTACTCAGAAATTGAAGTCAAAATATTTCGACGCACCGAAGTAAAAAGAGCTTATGCATCGGACTTTAAAGGTTAACTTTTAGATGTGCGCATGTGACTTCTGAATTGTATAGGGCCGATGATTTTTTTCGTTGAAAACTATTTTGTTAATCGCTTTTATTTGTTCTATAGCAAAAAAGCGAGGTCTGAGTATAGGGCACCTTAACTGGCAGTACCAAAAGTCTCGCGAAACTGCAATTTTAAAAACTAATAAAACTAATCAATATTTTTTGCAGCGTTCCAAAAACACTTTTCAACTAACTACAAAATTTGAGAAGGTTTTGACTAAAAATGAATCTGAAAAATTAATAGAAATGGCAAGGTTTAAATTCGATTGCGCTTGCTTTTCGTTTCAAAAACGGAGGTTTAAGAATAATAGAAAAAAGCACAACAAAAAAAGTCAGTAAAAATTGTGGATCGTTTTCAAACAAATTAGAATTTGTTACCATTTTACAGAAAAAAATTATCAATTTTTATTCTCAGATGATTGCTCTGCTCTAATAACCTATAATGCAAGATTTCTTTTCAAATAAAAACTTGATTAAATTTTGATGTTGTATCATTTGATTGATTGATCCTTTCCGACGTTTTTTTTTTCTGATGATTATTGATTTGCTGAGGAGAAACAATTACTTCAAACGTAAGTTTTTTCCCAACATTTTTCAAAAACACGCACTGGAATTTTAAGATTGAATATCGATGAAGTTTGATTTTTAAAAAGTCGATTACCATCAATTAAAAATAGATTATTTTTTCAATATCTAATGAAGCATTAAAATCCGTTGCAAATCATTTTTAAATGATTTTTCCACTTTCATATATAAAGTCAAGAAACCTCCATTACAACTGATTTTTTTCCTCTTTTTTAAGATGCAAGTTTCAATGCACACAGAGTCGTTTACACGTTTTTAACTAAAGTTGGTTATCTGTTGTTCAATTCACTTTTTTCTGCGCAGTTTTGATTTTACTCATTTAATGCTACACAATAAAGTTGCTTTCAACCTTTTTTTTAAGTTTATTTAGATACTTCGGGGGAATTGGAGTTGCATTTTCAATAATTTGACTCAAAAATTTGTCGAAACGCTTGTACGAATTATAATGCATTGGGGGTGTTGGTTCTGGTGGGAGGTTGCAGGGGTAAGCGACAAAAGGGTTAACGTTCAGCAGTAAGGGGGCAAACATTGAAACATTGAAGGGGTGTAAAGGGGAAATCGGTGAACATTTGCTTGATACAAAACAAAAGCAAATCGGAAAAAAGGATAGCCGGTTAATGTGCAGCTAGCACAATATTCCGACCATAATCATAAAAAAAAAATTCAAAAAATTGTAATTTTCTTCTGCATGGTGTGAGAAAAGGATATGAGCGAAAAACCAGAGCTTAGGCATATTCGACACTCATAGTGAAAAAAGCAAACTGCAAAATACTTTTGATAAAAAATGACTAAAAAAATCCAAAAGATTTTCAAAAAAAATTTCAACGTTTATTGCAGTTTTTTTTGAATTTTTGGCGTTTTTGTTTAAAAAATGCGCTAAACTATAGCTTTTTGGCGACTAAAACTACGTTTTTGTTGCTTAAGTTTAGCAATTGAATGCTTTTAAGATAGTTAAACAAAATATTGTAAGCCTGCTCGCTCACGCGAAATAATTAGACGAAAAATCAAAAAAATTCAAACCAATTTTTCTTACAATCTGGAAATTTTTCTGAAACTTATTACAAAGTTTTGTTTAAATCACGACTGGATAGGCTTTAAAATTATATATCACTGAACTCTCTCTTATAATTATTTGTGTTAGCTGACTTTGCGGGAAAACAAAAAAAAGAAAAAACCAAAATACATCCGAATACAAAACTCCTTCTCGTTTTTGAATTGATCGGAACAAAAATTCCATTTCAGTTTAATTTATTTGGATTATAATTAATTTTCCAAAGAATTGATAAAAACAAACTCAGGGATTCGACCACCTGCCGACCCAAAGAGTCCCTCTTTGTACTATTTTGAGATATCCATTTTTGGTGATGGACCCTAAAAATTTTCAAAAGGCGCCTGTGGCGCCATTATATACTAATTTTTAGGAGGGAGCGCGCGCCGAAAAAACGCAATGTTTTGGTCAAAATTTTCCAAAATGTGCCTAAAAACGCTATTTTTGGCCTGTTTTTTCAAAATTTCGCCTGCGGCTCAGAAAATTTGGCTAAAATAAGGACAAAACAGTGCTTTGGGAGAGCTCGAAAAGTCAACTTGGTCGACTTAGAAAAAAATCCTAGATCCGCCCCTGCCGTGAGCAAAAAAAATAAAAGCAATAAAAGTATAAATTTAGGCTTGATAGATTTTCGGAAAAAAGCAATTTTGGCTATATGACTTGAGTTTTTTTAGAAAATGAGGTTTTTTCAAGTGTTTTTGATTAGGGCTCGATTATATCATACACAGCTCGTTTTATCCAATTTAGCATGTGCAAAACCATCCAGCATCCGAAGCTCTTCCCACCTTTCTGGCCAGAACAGTTAGCTAAGTCGTGGAAAAACTTCCAGACTCCATTTTCCAGTCTCCTAAAATCACAGCTCCAAACCAATGAGGAAAAAGAAAAGGGTTGTCAATGATTTTTGATATGTTTATTTTGAAAGCACCTTCCCACATCAAAAGCCCTTGGGCGAATTCAGCGAGAAAAGGAGGGCAGATGCCCCCTTTTAGATATTCCAAACCCCATTTGGGACGTTTTGGGTATCGAATTTCGGTACATCTTCAAACGTAGGCATCCGGCCGCCATAAAGAAATTTTGGGTCTTCTATAGCGTGAACAACTCGTGAAAAATTACATTTATTGTACAAACCTATTACAATAATGGTCCACGGGGAGTCAGTTTAAATGGTCCACGGTTTCATCTCCAAACAATCGCCTTTGAATTCATAAACAATGGTCGGAGCGGATACGATAATACAATTTTCAAATTAGATGCTCAGACTCGGACTTTTGTTGTTCTTCCCAAAGAAGTGCTTAAATATCCGAATATGAAATAACGCTTGATTATTTCTTTGTTTGTTTGTTGTTTTAATCAAACACACTAACTGTATTTGTTGTTTCTTGGGAAACGTAATGATCAACCATATGTAAAAGCTTTTGTGTCTCAGTAAAATGATACATTGTCTTGATTCCTACATTTTTGTACCCACTGATAGTCTGAGGAAATTTATGTTTCTGCTTATGATGTTTTGATAACTTAACCTTTTTATCAAAATATGGAGTTAAAATAACAAAAATCCAGGTCTATTTTTCCCAAAATGGCTGCAAAGCTCCGATAATCGAATTTCAATTAAAACATATCAAATAACGAATTAATCCCTGGTTTTTTCTTTGTTATATTACAACTTGGAAGAGTTAAACATTTTCTTTTAATTTTTGTCATTTTCCTTTGTTTTTGTCCATTTTCTTTTGTTAACAAACCAACTTTTAGTGCCCGTATTATTTAGTGTGCTGCAACATATATTCAGTTGAAAATCATTTCAACTTGGAACCCGCCCCTGTAGCGTGAATAAAATTTAAATACTTTTTCACTTTTCAAAGTATTATCTAAAATCGATCCCTATGGAATCTGATTAACACGGCTACTGTTTGTTTTGTTCATCTTTTTTTATTAATTTTGTCTCATCATTAACCTTTTTGAGCGTGAAAAAAAAATTAAAAGCTGTATCAATTTATTTTTTTTTTGCTGCAAAAAAATATTTTGATGTTTTTGATGTTAAACAGGAGAAAATTAAATCCCGAATCAATCATATTCATTTCGTTTGTTGTGTTTATTTACCAATATGAGTTTTATAAGCATTTGAAATAATTCTTCACTTTTTTCTATTTTTTTAGTTCACCGCTTTTTCTGATTGGTCTAAAGGTGAACAGCATTTTAGAATACAGCTGCACTTAGACAGAATATTATTTGATATATTTTCATACTATTTATGAAAATTTTTATATTATTTATATCTTTCAGCAACTTTTATTACAATTTTGCCACTTTTACACCTTTGGTGAAGTTATTTATTTATGAGCCCAATCAGCCAAACCAAATTGCTGTTCATCCCTAAATTCAGCTTGAACAAGTAAATAAAGCAAGCCAACACTCGTCGATTTTTTTTTCAATTTGCTAACTGTCAATCACTTTATTTCTTCATCATTCACGTTAGAGTAAAAAAAGCTTGATTACACCTAAAAATCTAACCATCAATTGAAAATTGGGTTATCCATACTTTGAATTATTTTTTCTTCATATAAAAAAAAACAAATTTCGATATATTTTGTAAAAAAATATTTGCAAAAACAGAATAGAATCTGAAAAATATATCTTTGAGTGGTTTGCAATAACTTCTTGATTGGTTTGCAATAATTGCAAAAACCTCCTTCTTTAGTTCAAATTGATTAGTTTCTTTCATTAAGATTACTCACCATCTGCAATACAAACACCCTCTCTCATTGCAAATATATTTAACCCATTTTCGACATCAATTTCACCCGAAGAAGTTACATAGTTGCCTTTATCTAACTACCTTTGTTTCAATATGTTGACTTCTAAGTTGGTTGCTTTCATCGAGGTTCTGCTATTTGCAACCCTGGTTTATCCGGAAGGTAAGTTCAAGATCAGACCCAATTATTATACATGTTCCGATCGTATGTATATATAGCTTCAGTAGCGGATTTAGGGGGGACGCCCCCCTTAGGGATTCGACCACCTGCCGACCCAAAGGGTTCCCCCTTTGAACTGTTTTGATATATCCATTTTTGGCTGACTGACCTTTAAACCTTTCCAAAGGCGCCTTTGGCGCCAATATATACTATTTTTGAGGGGGAGAGCGCGCCCAAAAAAAAACAAGATTTTTTGGTTAAAATTTTCCACAAAATGTTATGAAGATTTTTTGGGATCCATGATAGTGATACGTTACCTAAAAAATAGATAGTATTTATAGTTGTTATCAGTGCGAAAACTATACATACCAACAGGTTATGTCATTAGGGATAACTATCTTTTTTGTTCACATGTTCCCATTTTTAGTAATTTTTTCTACCAAAAATACATTCGACATATATAGCATTTTTTTTTGTAAATTTTATTTCTACGATACATGAACCAAGAAGCAGTTGAAATTGATCACAGCGCTTTTGTTTCCGATCTGCTTCTCATTAATCATATTGACCTTCATTTCCACCTGTTCTCTTGTTAGAGCAAAGGGGGCGAGGATGAGCAACCGGAAGAGGGCGTTGATTTCAACTCCATCAGAAGTTTTCACACCTCGCTTCCCTCTTTTTTTTGTGACGGTTCAACTGTGACCAAAAATATCTGAACAAAAAAAATACTTGATTTCCTACGAAAGTTATGCGCCTAATTTCCACATTAAAGCTGAATAATTTAATGTTTTTTCAAAATTTTTGAATGAGTACAAAAGTTTTTAAGCAGCTTCAATGTAATTTAGCTTGAATAAAAATAGAAATTTTGAATAAGTCCGTTTTGTAGCATAATAACTAAATTTTGCTCGAGCTTTCTCTCCTAATAGTGGAACCATGTTTAGCTTAGAGAATTTTTTCACGGCATTTAAGTCATCTAAAACGAAGATCGTAAACATTGATCAAGCGTGATAACTTCATCAGCGCATCTTCAAACCCTTTTAGTCGCGATTCGGATCCAAAGCAATGTTTCAAAATATTGTTTAATTGCCAAAAAACGTATGGAAAGTTTCATCTCTAAAAACAAAAAAAAAAAAAAGAACCATTTCGAGAAAAAAAATTTCCAAAAAAAAATCAAATTTTTGGTTCATAGGTTTTTCTATCATTCTGAGCTAATTCAGTCACTTCTGCATCAATTAATCTGTGATGTTTTTTCCCACAACCGGTGTCGCTTTGCTAAGTTCAGAAATTTCTTCAGGTCAAAAAGGATAGCTTTAAATTTTTTGGGTAAGAGATTAATTTAACACTAAGGTCGCAATTAGGGTTTTCAATAGGGTTCAAAAAATATAGCCAAAGGGGTCAATTTCGGCCTCTCATAAATATTCTAAATCACCGCAGGTCGCTGATTGATCCGAATATAAACCTATTTAACCAGAAATCATCAGCTCAATATTTTGAAAACTGCTATTTTAAAACCATCCTATTTTAACTTTTTATTGGACTTGTTCCCCTGATGATTGTGTTACGACCATCCAATTAACCTAAGCCAAAACTAGCACACATATTCAATCCACAGTGAAAGATTAAACATGAAAAAAATTCTGTAAGTTTTTGATCAAAAAGGCTTGTTTAAGTCGAGAAAATATATTTTTTAAAAACTTCTTATCTAATTATAATCTTTCTAGTCCAAAAATACAGATAAGAGCCTGTAATTAAACTTAGGAGCTGAGTCCTTTTTTTGTTTTTGTTACTCGAAGCCTGTCGAGCTTTCTTCTAGTTAATACTGTGCCAGAATGTAAGTTGGTGTTTGAAAGCCAAACACGTTGATTGGGCAATTGTTACCTGTTAATTAGATTACCCTTCCGCTATATTGCTACCTGTAAGCTTTGCATGGTATGAAAACGATCTAACCATCATTTTTTCAGCGAAATGGGAGTATCAAATGTATTTTACCATGTTAGGATTATATGATAGCTATTTAAAAGTTAAAATTGAATATCAAACGATCCCAAATAGTTGCAGAATAAATGCTGATCGTAAATTAGGCACAAAAATTTACTCTTTTTTTAAACTAATATATAGCTATCATTTCATTGTCTTTTTCAAAAACAGTAATGCAGTTTTTGAATAATATAAAAGCTAATTGCGGTTATTTTAAATGGTCGTTTTCTATATGCCATTGTGATATTTGGGTGGGTAACGAGGGCTTGTCGAACCCAAAACAAAACTTTTCTGAGTAATCGGTTAATTAGTAAAAAAAAAAAAACGTACGCCTTAGATTCAGTTTCCATTCATTTTTTAAGACGCTTTTGTGACTGAAATTTTGAAAAAAAATGAGTTCCTTTGACAAATTAACTCGTTACATCTTAACTTTGTAAGCCATGTTTTATATTTAATCTAAGAAATTCTCTTTTCATTAAAAGAAGGTTGTGAGAAGTACTTTTTATTTGAAATATTTGATCCCGAATTGTTAACCTTTGCATCAACAATAACATGTCACCCGCAAAGAAAACCAGAAATTGTTGCTTTTAAATCTTCACGCCTTTCAATCATCAAAATCAAAAAATGGTCTTGTATTTTTAGTACAGGCCGAAAAATCTTTTTTCAACCACTCTCAGACAGGCGCCTTGAGATAAAAAATGTTCATTTGTTCTTCGAATTGTGATGATGATTTTTATTTTGAACCCAAAAATATTCAAAATTATGAAAGTGACAAAATAAATCTTCGCAAATTTAAAAAATGTATCTTAATTGTTACTCAAGTCATTTTTGCTATATCTTTTCTCGTTGAACTTGTTGAATCAGAGGAATAAAATTGGCTTTCTAAATGGTCTGCAAAAATGCTTTTTGTCCGAAAGAGATTTGCTCGACAACTGTCAGAAAACAATGAGAGCGTGCTTAACCGTGCATTTGTTTTCGGCCCTTCAGTAAAAAATCCCCGTTGGAATATGTCATTATGGAAGATTAGGACGTGGTCGTAAAAGGTTTAAAAGATTACGCCTAATAATAAAACAACCTTGTCTTTTCTTCGCTGCTCAGTTGAAAAACAACACTTTCAAAACGCCTGTTAGTTCTTGACAACTGAAAAATGAGCGATAAAATATTGCGAGTATCAATTAAAGGGACACCTTTGTTCTGACTATCAAAAAGGAGAACTAAAATTACAGTTCTGTTTTTTTTTCTTTTTGTATATTTTGCGTCGCACGAGCAGTTTTAGGTGGAAATTTTATCAAATACGCAACAAAAAAATTCAATTTTTTTTGCAACTCCCCGGTATATTTTTTGAAAAAATTATTATACTAAAACCTGTATTTCACACAGGGTTGGATCATGGATTTTCTCGAATGGAGGGCTGATTGTAAAAAAATTTCGAAAACTCAATTTTTTTAGGTCGATCAAATTGATTTTCTGAGCTCTCCCAAATCCTTATAAAGACTGTACTTTGACGACATTTACTACGCCGCAGCCAAATTAAAAAAAAAACAGGGCAAAATAGGCGTTCTTAGGCAATTTTTGAAAAGTTTTGATCAAAGTTGCGTTTTTCGATGAGCGCTACCCGTCTAAATTAGTATATATTGGCGCCTTTAGATTTGATTTTTAAAAAACCGTTCTAAAAACGCTCATCGAATTGCTATGTTCAAAAAAATCAACAATTCTGATTAATTCTGAAGTTTTTCTAAAATTCTGAAAAATTCTAAAGTAAATGGCATGTCTGAGTTGCTTCAGTTTCCGTTTTCGGTCATTTCTAATATCGTTTATAAAATTTATGTAACCATCTTTTCTTAATTTTGGCACATTTTGTCAGTTTTTTTGACCATTTGGGACTGATCAAACATGATGGGAGGATGAAATTTAAACGTGTTCACAGGTTGTTTCCTTCTTTTAGAGTAAACGATCTTTTTAAGTGATATTTAATAAAACGTGATTCAAACAGCAAACACCATGTTTGCAAGTTATGTAATCAAAAGGATATTAAAAAATGTTTTATCTGCAAGCAAACTTGAGGCAATATTTTCAACTTAAATGAGTAAATGTGCAAAGAAAATTAAGTTAGCTGCAATTATAGTTAATGGAAAGTCAGTCACATTAAGTGCAATTTTTATTGTGAAGTTCTTTCAAAAAGGGACGGATCTAGGATTTTCTCGAGCAGTGATAGGGTGGCGGATTTTCAAAATTTTTTGGTAAATTTTTTCGACCTTTTTTTAGGTTGACCGATTTGGTTTTTTGAGCGCTCCCAGAACTCTGTTAAATATCCTATATTGATAAAGTTTAAATTTTTGAAAAAAAAACAGGTCAAAATGCCGTTTTTTAGCAATTTTAAAACTTTGATTTAAAATTTGCTTTTTTTCGGCGCGCGCTCCCCTGCAAAATTACTATATGTTGGTGCCAATGGTCGAAATCTGCCCCTGCATCCAAAGTTATTTTATGCAATTTTCAAATTAAAGTAACGTAACGAATATCGGCGAAGGTATTAATTTGTAGTTTTCGTTTATTAGCTTTTATTGGCCTTTAATGTTAATTTTTTTTCGTTTCAGAAATCTTGAAGACGTTAGACGGTTCCAGCTTCCCATCTACTCCGAGATGTGGGAATTCGCCGGACACCAATGGAAAAGTAGGGATAAGTATTTCCCACTAGACTAAATAGTGAATATATGTTGAAAAACATAATGTCCGACATGATTATTTTCAAGTTATTTCAAGTTTTTGTACAAATTATGAAGAATTGAGTATAAACACGGACGTTTTTATGCATGCTCAAACTATTTCATCTGCTCAGAATTTTATTAGCATTAAAAAACTGAAATTCACACTTATATTTCGCCAAATTGAAGACTTTTCATGATCATATAATGAGTATATTACCTAACCCAAATAAGTACCAGCGTACTTTTCTAAGAAGTGTAATCACATCTATATTTAACCCGTCGTATTATTATTTTACAAAAAAAGCTAAACTTGCTAGTAGATGGGTTCGATGCTCCAGTAACCTGATTTGTACCACTTCACTAATTGATTATAGATTCTAATTCCCCCTTCATCTACAGAAATAGAAGCACAATAGCTATATACTTGTATTTGGAATTGTGTTGGTATCAAATTACCCCGTGGTTAAGTTAGGGAAGGTTAAGATATGTAGAGAGTTCAATTTATGAAGGGCATATTATATACTTGAAACATGCGTCATTGTATTCCGGCAACTTTAAAATCTTTTTTTTTCAAACTAGATCTAGGTTTGAACCAAATTAATTTTCTACGGATTATCAACGTCCCATCCCTAAAACGAAAATTAATTTTTGAGAAAATTCAAAATTTTAATTAATATTTTTTGATTTTTTTTAAAATTATTTTTTTTTCGTAACTTAAACTGCTTCTGTTGCCAGATCCTTGTTTCTATTTAAATTATATCTGACCCAGCTACCACGAGGGCTCTTTTAGCTTACAAAATCCACCATTAATCCCTTTGTAAATTTCCCTTTTCTGTTCGCAGTGGTGTTTCGAACCCATGATGACTCAACTGCGTGTCTGTGGAAATCCAACTCTAGCTGCCAACCCAGGCAGTGGGTCCATCCCTTCACCTGATCTGGGAGCTAACAGGGAAGTGATCTCCACACCTGTGAGACTTCCAGATGACTTGGATGAGTTTTTGCTCTCTCTCAAGTGAGTTGATTTTTCCATTTTTGCAAGTTGATTTTTCCAATTTTGCGAGTTGATTTTCCAATTTTGCGAGTTGATTTTTCCATTTTGCGAGTTAATATGCTTAAAAAAACTGTGGTCTAAAAACGTGGTAAAAATACAAATTGAGTTCAAGACATATTTTTCAAATCCGTGTTCAAATCCGGAGTATATAAAGAAATATTTTAGGCAAAAAATCAATTAAGGCTTGTTGTCAGTCATAAAAACTTGGCATCACGCCATTTTATCCGAATTATTTCAGGCTACTTTCAACCGCCACCCCACTAGATAATTTGAAAATCTATGCAGATTTGCTTTTTACGAGAATTTCATAAAGGAGAACAAAATTTTTAAATTTTTTTGTTCATATTCAGCATATTTTTGTCCTGATTCTAATATGAGAGTTCGTACTTCTTATTTTAAAAAACTATTTTTGATCATTTATTTGATGAAAGTGATATTTCTTTTTCCTATCAATATCTGAAATTGAGCCGTGTAGAAATATACATAAGTGCGTGTAGCGTGTCGTTTCGAATTAGCCCTAATTGCAAATTATCTCGAGTAGCTACTCTTACATTTTGCACCTATAACTTCTTTCCCCCGCCCCAGGTGAAAATCAAAGAGTTTTTTCCACAAGGCGGAACAAGCTTCGGTCAGATCAATTTTCAAATTAGTCTCTTGTTACATTAAGCATCGTAAAATATGTCACAATATAGTCCGGTTTCAATTTGGAAAAGTAAGCTTAAATTATCAATTACACTATTAGTGCATTATGATATTAGCCCTGTTAAAATTCCCAGAAGGGCACATTTTCCAGCCCTGAATTGAATGAGGTACTTAATTTTACTTAAAAATACTACGGGTTAAAATTCCTTCGTTTATATTTCATGCGTAATTTGGAAAAAATATATATACTTTTTCTTCGCTTTTCGTAATTTTGTTTAAAAAAAAAAATTGTAAACAGAAATTTTAGTTACGCTGTACTCTGGGTTGAATTAATTTCCTTGAATTTTTCTATGCATAACTGCAAAAAGGTATTTTCATTTGGTAATATATGCTGGCGAGAAATTTTAGTGATATTTTAAAATGAATTGTTCTCAAAAAGTTAATTTGAATGCAAAAATTATTACTTGTTATTTTCTTTTTTCTTAAGATAATTTTTGATGACGAAATTTGTTTTTGGTGATGTTTTCTAAATTGATTAACTTCGCATTTTTAAATTCATTTATTACGCGAAACTTAGGTTTATTTGCTCCTAATTATAAAATAAAAGATCAATTTTCTTTGAATACGAATTTTTGAGCGAGGCAACGGAAGTAATCGATATTTTCTCCCAGAAATTCGAACTCACAAAAGGAGTTAAAATTCCAATTAATTCTCCAAAAATTGAAATTCAATATTTTATGTTAAACTGCGGAATTAGAATTTACGTTTGTTTTTAACTCAATAATGAATGTTTATACTAAAAAAGACGAATCATGCATGAATGAAAGATAGAGAAAAAAAACAATTATGTTTTTAAGTAATAGAAAAGTATTTGAGAGAAACCTTGAAAAATACTTAGAAAAACCTTAACTAAGAAAAAAACCACCCCGAGCACAAATATTCCGTTACTTTCGTATCGAAAGTCGGAACAATAATAGAAATTATCTGGGTCAAAATTTCAGTTCAATTTAATCAAGCGCTCAAAAATGGCATAAAATGACGTTTTTATTAAAAACGTACGTTTCTGAGTTTAAAAAAATGATGGACTTGAAGTGTGATGTTCGTTTTGATTTTAGATTCAGCATTTCATCTTGCGACGAAAACGTGTTAAGTTCCAAATCCGATTGCTCCGAAGAACTCAAAATTGAACTCATCGGACAACTTGATCACAGCCCGAACGAAGTCGCCCTTTTCTCCAAAACCGAAACGACAGCTCTCGGAACAGCGCTGAGTGAAATATACTCAGTCAACAATCGGGAAAAATTTAGATATATTAGGCTAAAACTAACGTCAGGAACAGCTTGCGTTACAGTTGAAAGCATTCAAATTAAAGCTGAAAAATGCTTGTCCGAAGTCGCGAACTTAGTTCGGTTCCAAAGCGCGTATGCTTCCGAAAGCAAACGACATTCGGGAAAATGTGTGGAAAATTCAGTTTTGAATGGAAAAAACCAGCCATTGAAAAAGTGTTCACATGGAAACTGGTTTTCGCTCATAGAGGCAAATTGTGTTTGCGAGAAAGGATTCTTTTTCGAGAGTGAAAAATGTAAAGGTGAGTAGTTCTTGAGCTTAAAGTACTCAACTGTTTATTCATTTTTGTATTTTAGTTCATCAAACGATTATTTGATTGAAAAGTTTTTACTCGAGTTTGACATTTTGTGAATCAATTTTTTTTAAAGTATGTGATTTTTTTCTTTGTGTACTGATTTTTTTTACAAATCAACTCAAATTTAATTTAATCTTATCTTGTTTAAGTCTCAAACTGTGATAATAAAGATGGATTTAAGTTTTCAGCTCGAACTTTATTCAAATACACCAAAAGTGACCGTCTCACGGTAAAATAAGATTTATGGTCATTTATATAATCGAGTAGATATTACTACTATCAAAAATTAAGTCTTTTGCACACAAAGTGAAGTTTTTTGTCAAAAAGGATTAAGCGATCAATTAACCGATAAGTAAACCGAAAGTTTTTTTTGCAGAATTCTCCCACAAAATTTTGGATTTTTCTATGAGTACATCTTTGAAAAGTTTGTTGCGGTTTAAACTATCCAAAGTTTGTTTTTCTTTTTTCTTCTAAAAACATGTGAAGCAATTTTTTCATGCTTCCGTAAGTTCTGCGTTTTCGGTGCAAATCGTCTTCGATTTTTACTGACGTTATTTACGAGATGTTTAAATTGATTTTTGAATTTATTTGCGATCAGTTTTGTAGATAAGTTTAAACAGCGTGCGTCAAATTAGATTTTCTACTTTCGATTTGACTGTCAATGGTCACTTGATGAATGATTCGTTGCAGTATTACGCAGCGCCGCTGATAAATACACAACTTTTTCTGCTTTAAATCACCGTGCAAGTAGAAAGATTGTATTTGCGAGTACTAAAGGTGTATTTAACTTCATATTTTTTCAACTGAGTGAATTAACATGAATTAAAATTTGTACTGAATTCGAAAGTCAGATCTCAAACAGACAAAAAAAAATAAAATGAGCTTGTTCTAAATTGTTTCATGGGCGGAAGATGAACGCGACTTTTGTTGCGACAATCTCGTTTCAAAATGTAAATATTGCGTCTCTCAGAAAAGATGTGGCGAAATTGTGCGACTAAGAAAAAGGGTCGTGGCTTGTCATGTTTTTAGCTCGGTTCAAGGAATAAATATTTGCTTCTGTTCGAATTAGATATAAAATGAATAGAAAATGGTATAAATTATAGAAAATATTATAAATTGTGATTTTCCATCCAGTTTGATTAAAACTTTAACTTAAAAAATTTTCGTATTATTTTTAGAGCAGTCAGTTGAAATTCTACTATTACTATCCTGTGTATGATATCAATCAGTCTTATGTAGCTTTTATTTTGCTCACAACTGATAAAAACAAACATCAAAAGTTTTGAAAAATCAACTTTATTTACTATTTATTTTTTAAATTTTTTTTTGCTGTTAGCTGCGATAATTCTAGTCGCAATGTTTTGCGCCAATTGAACAGCAATCGGCTCCTCTATCTAAGCCAAAAGACAAACCATACAATAATTCCAAAGTAATTTGACAGCCTGTGGGCCCAACGAGTACAAGAATGTTCTTGGGAAAGGACCCTGCAGTCGATGTGCCCCGTTCTCCTTCAGTGGGGGTGGGGCTCACACTTGCACATGCAACCGGGGCTACTTCCACAACCCAGCCAGTGTCAGTGACCCCAACTGCTACAAGATGCCACTTTCACCCAGGTGAGAAAATTTTTTGAGCGAAAAAATGTTCGCAGGCCTAACGGGACAAAAAGGCGAGCTCTGCTGTCTTTCAAGAAAAACCCAGTTTTCTTATTTTTTTAGACAAAGTTCCGAAAATGTTGAGTTTTTTAGGCTTCGAAGGTTTTTCAACTTTCCTGAGAGTTTTCTAAATTTTTGCGCTTTACTGGTTAATAAAGTCTTAGTACCCTCAAAAAGTATTTTGAAGACACTTTCAAATGCTGAAAAAAAATTTGGTTGCATTGATAGTTATAACCAGTTGCAATTTCAGGGTGTGGAAAGTGACAAACGCGACAAATGAAGTGTCTTTGAACTATAGTGTGGACTCATTTGACCCCAATGTCAGAGTGGAGGTCACGTGTGTGTCCTGTGTTGACCTCAGACCCAGAGTGCACTACAGTTCAGATAAGAGGTCAGTTTGGTCTACCACCCGCACTGACAGAAATCGATTAACCATGTACATTTTACGAACTTAAATGGATTTTAAATCGATTTAAATCGATCTTTTTGAAAATTTTAAATCGATTTAAGTGTCTAAAAAATCGATTTAAATCGATTTCGATGGAATTTCCGACACACTAAAACAGATTTTTTAGTGTGTCGGAAATAATTCCAAAGTAATTTGACAGCCTGTGGGCCCAACGAGTACAAGAATGTGATTGGGAAAGGACCCTGCAGTCGATGTGCCCCCTTCTCCTTCAGTTGAAATTTTTTGCTAACAATGCGAAAAAAAACATACCCTTTGAAAAATTATTGGAAATTTTTATTCTCGATTTTTAAATGTAAACACTCGTGCCAGATGTTATAGAATTCAATAAAATTATCCACATAATCAGTTTCAAGCACGAAAAAACTTATAAAATGAATCAAGAAAAGGGTCAATATAGATCAGTTTTTGAACTCAAAATATGCAAGAAAATCAAAGTATTTTATCGATATTTTGGTCTTTTTATTTGGTCTTTTTTATGCTACAATACGCTATGGATGTAAAATGAAAAATGATAGGCAATGAATAAATGCATTCAAATTTCAAAACTGATAAATCTCAAATAAAAAAAATCGATTTAAATCCGTTTTAATCCCCTTAAAATCAAAAATAAAAACAGACTGGAAAAAATGCATTTAAATTGATTTAAAATCGATTCGGATCAATTCTTTTAGCTGGGATTTAAGATCATTTTAAATCGATTTTAAATCGATCCAAATCAATTTTCACCTTTTTTGTTTTATCTTCACACTTTTTTCATACTAAAATCGATCTAAAATTAATCAACGTACTTTTTTCATACTAAAATTGATTTAAATTTAATCAACGTACTTTTTTCAGTCTAAAATCGATCCTAATCCATTTTTGTCAGTGCGGGCAGTAATACTCGATGCCAAATGGAAGAATCTCAATTTTTTTGCAGCTGATGAATTCGAGACCTTCTTTTTTGAACAGAAACTTTTAAATGGAACAAAAATTTTTCAATCGAAAAAGTTTTTGAAATAATATCGTGTTGTATTCATTTAAGCAATGTTTCAAATTGTCAGAAAAAAGTAGTCACCAAGAGCTTAAATGTCTTCAAAAAAGCCCCTCCCCCCCTCCGCAGCCCTCACTTTCTCCCTGAACATATGCTTAAGTCAAAATATCTGCAATTTCATTCTTAAAAGTTTTTCTCTTTTTGAACTTTCATTTGCAAAATTAATTATAATTTTGTAAATGTGTTTCAAGGTCAGCAGTGGTGAGTGGTTTGTCTGAAAACACAGTGTACAGATTAAGAGTGGCAGCTGTCAATCAAGTGTCCTCCCTTGACCTCCAAAAGACATCCATAGAAGTCACAGTGAAGACGAAAAAGTCACGTGAGTCAAGGGAAAAGTTATAAAGTTGTCCTAATACAAAAGTTATTTCTACAAAAAATAATTTCTGTCAAATACTTAGGTCCAATTTGTTGTTTCAACTTTTGTCCAATTGGTTGTTTTTTTAAAAATTGTCTTTATAAATGATTTTAAATCGTTATTGATTACTCGCATTCATTTGGAAAAACATTCTTAGATCTCTTAAACTTGAAATGTTTTTAAAAATTAAAGACAAATTTTTGAAGACGATTTCTTTTTTTTAGATAAAGTACGAGTTTTAAAATGCGTGAAAAGCTATGACAAACTACTAATCGAGTGGGACCCGATAAACTTCGGAGAATCGGATTCCGAACCTCCCCCGAGAGAACTCTCGTGGAGCTACCTCGGCAGTCGCAATCGGCAGTCGGTTGCAGTGGCGCCCTATTTGGTCCAGATTAGACCAGAGAACTCGAGGAGTTTCATGGATTTCTACACGAATGATACAAAGTTCCAAACGTCAAGTGAGAAAGTCATGGTGTTATTAGGGTATTTTTAATCACAAGGAGTTTTTAAGCCAATAAAAACGAGAAATCTGAAACTTAATTACAAAAAAATCAAAACAATTTAAACAATTCAAGCTTCCATAGACAATTCAAGAAATCAATATCTAATATAAAATTTGAATCACTTTTTATCTGTGTTTTGACAGTTTTTTTCATACCTTTGATCTTTCAGATCTGAATCCCGATTGGCAGTACATTTACAAAGTGGGACTCAAAAATGACCCCAAATCATTCTCACAAGAAGTTGTCTGCTCAGTTCAAGGTAAATATGATACATTTTATAGTAAATTAAAATGAATAGTTTTCACCATAAAACACTTGCGAAGCTTCTTTTTCTTCCAACCTAAGTCGCAACAAAAACGCTACTTTTGGTGGCACTTTGAATTATAGGCTGCTGTTGCAGTATAATGTCATATTTGCTTTAACATTTGATTAGTAAAAGTTAACACAGTTGATGCATTTTTACACAAGCAAAGCTTGTGTTATAGTATGAACTCTCTTTTTTCCCAACCTAAGTCGCAAATTTTGATGCGACAAAATGTGTTCATTTTGAAGGTGTTCAATTTGATCAATAACCAGCAATTAATTATAGCCAATGCTAAGAATATTAACACAGGCTCTTATATTACAAATAGCACTAGCTTCAAGGTATCATGGATCTGTAGAGTAGATGTAGGGAAGGAGACCAGCAACAAAACAAGAGGGTTCGAACCTGGGCAGGATACTTTTAATGAACTTTTTCGTATACTAGTTAAAATGCGTCCGCTCTATAAATTGAGGCATTTTAGTTGGTAATTTTTTTTTCAAATTGACTGGTGCTGCTAATGCGTCATAATTGGCTTGCATAGCTTAACATTTATTTAGATTCAAAATTGGGGTGCGTCACTGAAAAAAAATTGTAGACTCGAAGTTTTACTCATTCAGTTTTTCCTCAGTAGCGTCATCGGTCGTATTTTTGCTGGTGTTTGCGAAGTATTTGTTTCAAACAGCAGCTTAATGATAAAAGGCTCAATTTCAGAAGTTTTCCAACTCAATGTATCTCGCAATTTTTTGGCTTTAGTGCGTGAGACAAAATTGCAAGGTCGCAGATTAGAATCCTACACGTAGCCGAGTTTTGCTAATTCGAGGTTTATTTCTAATTTTTTTATTTCACTTGATAGAGCTGCTTTTTGGTCGTTTCTCGCAAGTGTTTGCCTGTTTTCATTTTCAATTATCTTCCCATAAAAATGTGAGGAGCATATTTTGGTTCATGAATATTCAAATTTTCAAAGTTCAAATGAACTTTTTTTCAATTCGAAGTTGAATTGAGTTGACGACTGAATAGTAAAAAATCTCAGATGTCATTGTCACAATTTTGTTCAATTTTTTTTGGTTGGAGTTTTATTTGAAAGGCAAATGGCGCGGGGGAGGGGGAGACATTCAAATTTTGATTTCCTAATTTAATCGACAGACTGACTGAAAATTAAAATGTTGATTGAAAATAATCAGCTCGGCAAGATAAAATAATAGACAGCAGTCTGTTTTTATAGACAAAAATCAGTCTAGTTCATAAAATATCAAGCTTAAGCCCCCTCCCCTGAAAAAATTGAGGAAAAATTTTGAACATTAGCTGACATTTTCCACCTCCTTCTTTTAAAAAAATGCGAAATATAATTTAAAATAGGAATCAGATTGTTTATTTTTTATATATAATTACCCCCTCCCCAATTATTGCTACTTTACGTTGTCTCAGTTTCCTTATCTGGGGAGGAAATGACTGTGTGTTTATAGCTGCCGTTTAATCCACTGATTAAATATTCCACGTTTCCTCTCTTAAATTAGCAACGAGAAATGCTTCCTCTTCGATTGTAAAAGGCAAACGCAAAAATGCACTAATTGGAATAAATTTCCTAAAAAAATCTCTATCCCAAAATGTTTCATGAAGGAATAAAAAGATAAACAAAAACCTAATTTGAATGAAATGTGAAGTCGATATATTGTTTTTTTTCTCTGTTTTTGAGTAGAAAAAACAGTGTTTTTTGTTTAGATTTCAGAAATTGAAGTTTTTGTGAAATATAATTTTTGAGTCTAATGACGCTTAAGATTCAAAGTTTCCCATGTTCTAATTGACAAAAAATTCTTCTTTTGTTTGGGTAGATTATTACTTGCTGAAGTTCAATTGTTCAAACGAAGTTCTCATTATTAGGAATGAGCTGAACGTAATAAGAGAGTTCTTGTTAAGCGAATCAGCTTTACTTTTTCAAACTATCAGACTTGATATTGGAACAAATTTAGCCCATTAAATAGTTCGAATAATAAAAAAATAATGATAACATGATTCTACATGAAACAAAAAACCGAATCTTCCTTTTTGAAATCAGTAAACCAGGAAAATAAACAAATTATGCGTTGTCGATTTGAAAATTATACATAGTGCATACTAAAATCTATTACTCGAGACCTGCCCTTCAACAATAAAATAACGATTGTAGTTGAAATATAATTCTCGACAAAAAAAAACGTTAATATGACTGGTTAATTTTGGAAAAATATCAAAAAATGAAAAGAGCCAGTTTTCCTAAGTTTGAAAAAGGTTAATTTTTTAAATTTGTTTCAGGAACCCTCCTCTCCAAAGCCCAAATCCAGGGTATAACAGTTCTAGTGGGGGCAGTCTCAATCGTGTTCATCGCCCTTCTAACTGTTCTGTTTATTGTCTTCTGCTACTACAAGAAAAAACGAGAAGAATTTCTCTACTCTTCGTGTGCTGGTTTCACAGCGCCCAGTGTTTTTGACCAAAGTGGGGACCTGAAAAACATGTCGCCCATTTACTCTCACTGTGCTAATAATACTGGGAAGTACTTTTATGGGGCAACAAGTGGGGGGCTAGCGGGAGGGACTGGTTTGAATCAGTATCACATGGGAGATATTTACGGCAGTGCGATCATCGCAGCAAAAAGAGGTTATCAGTACAGCAAAAACGGAACTCAAGGTGAAAATTTAATCATTTTTCCAGTGACTAAACACTTTATTCCACCTGAGAAGTTTGTACTTTTTCGATAGTGAATCCAAAAAAAATGCGCTGATTTTATAATAAGTTGCATCGCCATATGCAGCGCTCGTAGAATTTTTTTCGAATAATGAGAATGCTTTATTTGTTATCAATTCACCAGAGCGCTTCACTAATTGATCAAAGGGATTTATTTCGTAGGGTGCTTTTCACTCAAACAAATGTATATCAAGTGTGGTTTTGTGCTACTTGCTCAGTGATTGAGTACTGTTTTTGTTCCGACCATTGAAAATGGAGAGAAACTTTGTTTTCGGTTGTGTTTTTTCCTTTATTCCGACCATTGAAAATGAGGAGGAACTTTGTATTGAGCTGTTTTTAATTTTTTCTTTGTTCCAACCATTTAAAATGGGGAGGAACTTTGTATTCGGGTGTGTTTTAATTTTTTCTTTTTGTTCAGACCATTGAAAATGGAGAGAAACTTTGTTTTCGGTTGTGTTTTTTCCTTTATTCCGACCATTGAAAATGAGGAGGAACTTTGTATTGAGCTGTTTTTAATTTTTTCTTTGTTCCAACCATTTAAAATGGGGAGAAACTTTGTATTTGGATGTGTTTAAGCTTTTTTTTCTTTCATTTTTGTTCTGATAATTGAAAATGAGGAAGAACTTAGTTTTGAGTTGTTTTTTCTTGTACTGGCCATTTAGTAGTGAGAGGAACTTTGTCTTCGGGTGTATTTTAGTTTTTTCTTTCTGTTCCTACCATTGAAAATGGAGAGGAACTTTGTTTTGAGTTGTCTTCAGTTTTTTTTTGTTCCGACTAATCAGCAAGAGGAGGATCTTTTCATTCGGGCGTGTTTTATTTTTCCCCACTCAAAAAAAGGTAACACAAATAATCATCGTAATGGGTCGAGTGTGTATTATATTGCAGACCTTTAGATGTGATTCGAACAAAATTTTAAAACATTATATCAAAAGCTGTCCTATCGAGAAAAACAAGTTTAAAATTTTTGATTTTTTAAATTCTAGCAAAGAAAGCGAACGAGCATGCTTACAATAGCTTGTTTGTTTTTTTTTAAGACGCGACAACTTAGTTTTACTTGATAAAAAAAATATTTTTTAGAGTTTTTTGGTGTCTCTTTGAGAATCAAAAATTCAAAAGACACAAAACTCTTTTTTGACTTTTTTAATAATCTTTTCTTTGTTTTTCTAGTCAATTTTCTACAAAAACTGTTGTCCAATTTGCCTGTTTCAATATGACTGTCGAGTATTCCTAAGTTGTAATTTTTCATTCAGATCCTTTTATCACACCTGAACTAATTTGAAAAAAAAGTGTATTTTTAAAATTATGGTCGGAACCTTCTGTGTTACTTGCACAGTATCCGGTTATACTTGTTCAAATTGTTGTTTTTTGAAAAAAATTTTCCCTGAAAAAAAATTCCCCATTTTTAACAAAAAAACTGTTATTTAGTTTTAAATTACTATTTTGTTATTTAACATTGTTTTTGCTATATATAAATTTTTATTTTTGCGACGTCGAAATGCTGTATTAAAATCAGCAATTTTTGAAAATACTGCTTAATAAGTTTGCGTTTACATGAAAGTATTGTGCTTATTTTTCCTATTTCCGGTGTCTTTGATTATGTTAATTCCTCTTTTCCCCTAGCGGCCTTTTGGGTAACATCGATTTTTTTGTTATGGTAAGGATGGCAGTTTTATGAGCGTAGCTTATCAAACTATAAACGCTGCCAACCTTTCAACGTCCCCTATTTGCACTTAACGGTGTACGTAATGCTCAGTTAAGGTAACCCGACCACTCGTAAATTTATCTTTAAACAATTCGAATCCATAGCACTAAATTTACATATTGACCCGGGGTACTTTTCAAACCATTGTTTGCTGCTAAGTTACTTTTTTGGGTGTTTAAATTAAACTGAAAAAGGAAATTTCACGCTAGTGATAGCTCCAATAATAGTGTGATATTATCCATTGTTAAGCTGAAAAATTAGTTTTTCAAACCGCGCTCCCATTATTTCACTTTTTAGTTCAAAGTAATGCCGTTATTAGATTTTCTTTGAACAAAATCACCCATAGATACGCTTAGATTTCCGACGCTGAGTTGCAATGGAAAAAAATCATACGCCCAAAGCAGAAAATGCGGTGATGAAAATTAAAGCATATGAAGGCTCGAAGTTTTGGCCTTTGGGCAAAAAAGAAGAAACGATATCTGATGAAAAAGCCGAAATAAAAGGATTTTAAAAAGCCCGAGGAAGTTTGATCTTTTCCCGCTCTCTTGAATTTTTCCGTGTATTTTTTTAATTTTCGCTCCACTGATCTGATAAGTCATTAATGTAATGCATTTTGCTGACATGAGGAGTCCTGTCAATCTAAAAATGTGAGGGGTTCTTATTATAGCACTGAAGATTGTTGAAGTTGATTTAAAAGGTGTCAAAAAATTGGACGTGGAAGTTTACTAGACCTTGCTGAAATTTCAAGTTGATTCAATTTTTTATCAGAGCTAATTTGATCTGCTTGAAAAAATTTGCAATGGTTTGCAAAATTTTTTTATGACATCATGAGTCATTGAAGGCAAACATAAATAATTCAAAATTTAAACCGAGGTTTTTGCTCATTAAACCGACCAGGGGCCGATCTAAGATTTTCTCGAGGGTGGAGGTTTATCTACTCTTTTGTCTTTTAATTGTAAAAAATTAGGATAAAATTGTGACAATCTTGAACAAAAATCAAGAAATAGCTGACAAAAAGGCGCAGGCTTCAATTTAATTTATGAGTGAATCACTTTGTTTTTAGATATGAGCAATATTCCTCTGACCAGTACTGGAATCGATCTCTTCCTCGAAGCCTCCCAATACTATGACTCATACGACTCAATGCTACATGAATTCGCTAGAGACGTCCCTTGCAGTGCTGTCACAATTGACTCCCAATCATCACAAAACACAACTCAAAACCAACACTTCGAATACTTAAACGGTCTATTTGGACCAGGATTAGTCCTAAGTAAAGGAAGTTTATTAGTTGGAGACAAGCAAGAGTCGAAACCAGAGTCAGTTCGAATTGTGAGGTTGACTGAAAAAGCGAGCGATGATGATCAGAAGATTCTGGCGATGCAAGTAATGACGATGTCAAATTTCACTCATCCGAATGTATTGATGATGCATGGTGTAACATTTACAAGTGAGTTTTTTCAAAATCCTCTAAAATTGTTGAAAAACAAACCTGCATTTCTAAAGTTTCTTGAAAATTTCTTCTAAATTGTCAGCTTGGAATCCAAATTATATAAGAGTCTAATAAAAGACATTTCGAAAATGTTTTTTTTTCTAATTTTTGAAACGAATAAAATTATATAAATTTAATGATTATCCAAATAGAATTACTTTTTCGGAAATGATTTTTTTTTAAATGAATCATTTTGCAAAACAACCGCACCGAAAAAATGCTTAAAATTTGGTTCAAATTTTTTTCGGCACAAAATTTAGTTCACAATTCTATAGACTTAAAAATTCTTCCGTTTTATTTAAATTGGGTGATTTTGAAAAGAGCCTCTTTTCAAAAAGAACTTGACGTTCGGCTGAAAAGTAGTCAAGAGACTTGGTGAAAGTGAAAACTTCCATTTTGAACCCGATTTGATCAGTTAACAGTTTTTCCAGGTAAAATAATTGATTCGCTTTAAAAATTGGTCTTAGACACTAATTTTCTGAGGTAGTTTTCCCATTTTACCTTTATGTAACCAATTAAATTTGGGAGTGTTTTCAAAACAGACGAGAAAAAATTAACGTCCTAAATTGATCCTTTATTTGTTAAAAATTGAATCTGATTTTGTGACATTAACGTCATACTTTTATTATGGGCACACAAATTAAATTTTGTTTCTTCTTTTTGGGCATTTTATTTGTTTTGTATATAAAATTTCCCACGTCACACGATTCAGGTTTTCTGTTTGAGTTCTCGAATGTAGATTTAAAAACAAAAATTTCAACCATGCGAAACTCAGCGACGAGCTGACCTTTAAAAATGGCAAAAGAATTAAATTCATTGGACAAAAATTTTAAAAGCGTTATTTATTCAATGTTTTTGTAAGTTTTTAAAGAAAACTGATAATAGAGGGAGGAAGCAAACAGTTTTCAGCAACGAAGACAATTTTTCTACATTTGAAAGGAGGACGCTAAAATTTCACCTTTAATTATCCGTTGTTAAATTTTTAAAAAGGTTGACAAATAGATTTCGGTTTAGAAAAAGGAAACTATTTTTTTGTTTACCAAAATCATTTTTCTTCCACCCACTTTTGATAATTGCTTTTTGATGACATTTACAATTCGAGTTTTTAAGCGTTTTACAAATAAAAATCGCATCAATAAAAATACTTATAGTGATGTTTATTTTGAAAAAAAAAATGTTTAGAATCTATGTTTACTTTCTTAAAGCTTGACTCATAAAGAAGCAATTATGATTTTTTTTCCTAATTTTTTTATCAAACTTTCCATGAAAACAAAATCAAAGCAACTTTAAGATGTTTATTTTTTTTGCTCAAATTTTTTTTTGTTACTCCCTAAAAAAACGTTAAATTTAGCAACAATTTTTTTAACACAAATCCTCATTAACACCTCTCCTCACTAAATCATATCGTAACGACAACGTTGATTAAAAAAGCCCTTAAAATGGATAAAATATGTATAAGGTTGTAATAAGAGCTAAAAATACACTTAGTAATCGGGAAAGATCATTTTTGGATCACTTGAAAAGGGTTGTTTCCCACCTCATTATAGAACAGCAGATGAATCATCAAGTTCTTGACTTTACACTTATGGGACAGAATCCACGGTATAAATTTGTATAAACACTACTATTATAAAAACCTTTAAAACTAAACAAACTGATATGACCGAATAAGTAAAACTTGAAACAGAACAAAACTTTAATTTATGAGGAAGGATATTTAGGAAATAAACATTAAAATCAGATCAAGTCAATGCGGGATTTGAACCTCCGAGCAGCTAAGATCCGATACTGCTATGCGAACTTCATTCAAAAATGAAAATATGGAATTATAATTTTCTCCTTTATACGCAGAATTCTCTCCAGTTTTCATTTTCAATGAGATCATTGCTAAACTATAACTGTCAACTTTGTTTTATTTTTCATATAAATAACTAATTTTGAGTATCATTTTAAGGCGATCCTCTTTGTTGTGTGATGGAAGAGCCCGACTTAGGTCCTCTCCATATTGTACTCTCCCAAATGACGTCACAACTCAAACATAGAAGCAGCAGCCAATCAAACTCCACCGATTATCTCAAAATTTCGAATCTCTCTTCTAGTGGACAAGAAAGCAGTGTTGAGCATGGTGCAACATCGCCCTCTAGCGGCAAATCATCAGAGTCGTCATCGTGTAGTAATTATGGGAAGCTACCAGGAAACACGGTGGATGTTCCGGAATTGCTGCACTTGCTAAGAGGGATTGCTTCTGGAATGCAATATTTGCACGACGGTGGAGTTTACGTGCACAAGGTATATTTTTTACGGAAACTTTCAAATGCGTGATACTAATTTCTTTGAAAATTCAATCAACTTTCATAGTAACGGAGTTTTATAAAAAACACTGAAACCTCCAGTTTTTTCATCATAAATTTTGGTATGCGAGCTCATATGACAACTTTTGATATGGCCTGTCAGAGTAAAAACAAATAATTAAATTTGAATTAGAATGCAAATTAGATAGAATGAACTCTTAGCTATAAAATTTATGAAAGAACAAAATTTACCAGTGTTTAATAATTGTTGTCTCATTCTGCGTCTTAACATGATCTTATTAATTACAGCTTTTGCTTTTGTTGCTAATTCAACTGTTAAACTAATTAAGAGTTTTTTGTCCGAAAAAAATCACTGTTTGTCAGGTTTTCTGTGTTTTTGTTCCGACCGTTTGAAAAATATGGAGAACTTTGTATTCGGGTGTGCTTTGTTTTTTTCTTTTTTTTCCATAAAAAATTAGGTACCGCAAATATGGATCGGAATGGGTCGAGTGATCTATCATATTAAAGCACTTTCAGTTGTAATTCGAACGACATTGAAAATTAGTAAATATGGGCGCCGAAGGCGCCTTTAGAAAAAATTTAGAGTCCGTCACCAAAAATGGATATCTCAAAACAGTACAAAGGGGGACCCTTTGGGTCGGCAGGGGGTCGAATCCCTGAAGAAGGACGTCCGCCTAACCCCTCCCCCCCCCCCCTAAATCCGCCCCTGGGTAGCACAATTAATTGCGACTAGAGTAGTTTCTGCAAAAAAGGTTGCTATAACTAACTGAATGCAGAAACTAATCAAAACTTTTATATTTTTGTAATGTCTTTTTCAGGTGCTGTGTTCGATGAATGTTAGTGTGACTAAACACAGGATGTGTAAAGTGGGTGGATTTGACATGAGGTGTGCTCTGGAAATGCACTCTTACAATGCAGTCTCGCCCCAGTCGGGCACAGGGGGGACACTCACCGCACCTGTACCGTCACACAAACTGACAGAGGTGGGTGATAACTTTCAATGGATCTCTTTAACTATTTACCTTCCTCCCCCTTAATGAAAAAAAAAACGGATGGGGAGACTCGTTACTAGATAAAAAAATTACATATGCTATGCTGAACCGTTGAATTAGTTCTTCTAGGTGTGGAAATTAGTTACTAGGTACCAACGAGGGAGAGCTTTTCTTTTATATGGGACCAAAAACTGCAGAGAAAATACGTGAGCTTCTGTTCAATGACGTGTTTGTGAAGTGACAATTTTCAACCAATCATATTCAAACATTGAATTTTTTTCAAACAAGCAAAAAGATCATTTTTGGCCGCATAACAGAAAATTCTCAATCTTTTTTGTCAAATTTTTGCTGTATTCTAGAGTTCAAATTTTTTCTATGAAAAACTTACTGCCGTTTTTCAATGTTATTCTGTGCCTAAAAGTGAGTTCATAAAACCTCGGGGAAAGAGGCGGTCTTTCTAGGTGCTAATTCAGCGAATGCCTTGAAGGGATGTATCGCTCTCCCACTTTCTCCCTCAGCCAAGGTAAACCACTAAAGCTAAAGATACGTCATAAAAAAGACAGCTTTGAAATTTGAGTAGAGAGAAATTTTTGAAATTTCTAGCTTAATTAACTGCTTTTTCAATTTTCCCAGGTAATTTTTTGAACGGAGGGAACAAAGGAGGCAGACTTATTGATTAGCAAATATCAGTTTCCTTTTTTGCAGTTTTCTTCTTCAAATTAAAACCATTTGTTATAAAGAAAAGGGTCGTGTTTATGTTTCCATATCATAAAAAGATACTCGTTTCCTGTTCAAGTTAACACAGCAAAGCAATTAGAAGCCGAAAAAATGAAAATTGGCTCTATTTTTCCATAGTCTCCGGGCTTCTAAACACTTCTAAAGATATATTCAAGAGACACTTTTTTGCATTTTAACTGCAAAATTGATTAGAAACTCTTTTAATCATTTTATATAGCTTAATGGTTGTTTTTTAATCATTATCATAGCTACATGCTGTATATATTTTTCTTCTCTTGATCTTGATTGATTTCTGAAGTATTTCAATTCCAAATTAGCTGTTTTTCTAACATTGCTTGTTGTTTCAGGTATTATTAAAGAGCTACGGAAAAATGTTTTTTTTTTATCATCTAGTTCGATATTTTTCGTTTTTCTCGTCTAAAAATTTAATTGAATTAATTTATACATTTTGGTGTCACGGCCTAAGACATATAATTGATTGCAATGCAGCAAAATGTAAATTCATTTCAGTTTGACACAAAATTGAGTTTTGATTTGCATTTTTGTCGGCTGAAAAGATAAAAAATCCACCAGCTTTCCTGTTTTTATTTCCTTTTCCCGTGCAATAAACGAAAGAAAATTGAAAACAAGCAGGCCGGACTGATGATAATATGTATTACCTGTCCATTAAGACATCTGAAGTGGGCTTTTTAGCCCAAATTAGTAATTTTCCCGTCACGATTGGGGACATATTGTAGGGGTTCATTTATGCTACTTAGAGGGTAGCTAGAGTACCGCTATCAATTAAGGCTACCACTTAAATGTACGGTTGTTAGTTATATATGTCTTCGGGTAATTGGGAGTAAAAATAAATCAAAGTTAAATCGAGACTGATGATTTGACGGTTTTGATAATTTTGATACAGTGCTCTATGCAAAAAAAAGTTACTTAAAAAGCAAAAAAAAACTGGATAAATTAGATAAATTAGACAAAATGGATAACTTAAACAAAAATTTGTTCATTAGGCCGCATGATGAATTTTTACCTGTAAGGTCGCAAAAAATGTTTGAATGCTACTTGGAAAAAATGTTGGCGATATTCTCAGATAAAATTGTTTCTCTTCTGTTTTTATCGTCCTCATAGCTTCCTGAGCCTTATCGAAGAAGGAAGTTGTTGAATTTGGTATTATTTCCTCTGTTTTTGAGCGATAGGTTGAAAATTATTAACAAAAATCATGTTTACCTGACATAAGAATACAATACCTAAATTGGACCTTGTTTTGCACAATTAGATGGTTCTAGTAGCTTTCGGTTTTTGGGAAAGGAACAGCGTTTAAGCCGAATAAAACTTCATTGTCATGTTTTGCGTAAATTTATGACGAACATTTGGCATTTTTTTGTGAAATAATTTTTATGATATATACTCATTCTTTTTTGGATCTACATTCAAAATCACGAAAAAGTTGTTTCTATAATTATAATCACTTGAAACGTAAACAAAATATATATACACTCACATAAACTTTTCTCCAAAGAAACTCAATAAGAGCTCTTTAAAAAGTATCCTAAACCATTTTTTAAAAATAAAAATCATAGCTTCCTTATTGCTGCTTTAAGCTTGAAGTTGAAACAAATAATATGCAAAAATATTTAAAAAAATACATCCCCGATTCGCCGTAAATTCTTTTTACTGTATTGTTGCTAACACTGACTATAAATGTTTCTTTTTAAAATAATTTTTCGAACCCTGATGTTCCATTCCAGCTGCAGACCCTGCTCGCCCCCTGGACTGCTCTGGAAGTGTTCGAGGGGAGTCTCCTCTCTCAGCAGAGTGACGTGTGGTCTTTTGGAACTGTCATGTGGCACGTGTTCTCTCTGGCACAGCACCAGCCCTTCTTCGACTGGAACCAAAAAGAGGTCAGTACATAAGCGCAGTCGTAGTGTTCCTTGTTTACTCGGACCCGGCCCTACTTCTTCATTGATTCCTTGGACCTTGCTTCAATTGAGTGCAGAGATGTCATCCGTTTCGCCGTAACCGCAGCAGGCGGATGAAACTGTATGACCAGCCGTTGTAATTTTGGTCGGTTTAAAAAGAACGTTGACGTTGTTGACAAAACATATAAAATCATTTGAAAATCCGAGCATCACACATCGAAGAAAGCTATTTTTCTAGCCACGATATCGATTGACCAAAGACAATTGGTTTCCTTCGGTCTCCTCTCGATTAGAACATTATAAGTAATAAGCCTTTGTAACCTCGATAAATTAGAAAATTTAAAAGTTAAACGCATAGCGCTGAATATGTTCATCAGTGCATTAATTGAGTGCACTAATGAGAATTAATAGATTACGAAAAACTATAACATGAAAAATCTTATTAATGCAATTTGGCTAGTTGAAAGTTAATGTGTCCTGTATGTGTAATACATAATGACGCTCCTTGCATTCATCGTCGCTTAAATTAAATGATTTTGTTGTTTTTTGTTCTTTAGATAGTGCGCATGTTGTTCAGTGGCTACCGGCTGCCCCCACCCGACAACTGTCCAGACCAGGTGTATGAACTGATGATGGCCTGCTGGTCCCTCAATCCCATCTCCAGACCCCCCTTCTCACTCATCCGGGAGGTAAGACAGAACTACTTAAAAATTTTAATAAGTTCAAAGAAACAGGGTTTAGAAAGTTTATTTTCAGCTTTAAAATTTAGTTAGGTTGAATGATCGACCATATTAAAGCATTTTTAATAGAATCTTATAAAAGTGTAGGGAAAATTGGTAGATTGGTTTAATCGTTGTCTTATGCAAAAGCGTAATATGATGCACTGGTACACTATTTAAAAAAACTGATAAAAAATTGACAAATTTCGAGGAAAAAAAACGTTTTTTTGTTTAATATATTTTTCCAATGATTTTTGTAATTGCACTGTTTCTCTTTTTAACTATCTGGCAGTTACAGGCTTCTCTTGTTTTTATTAAACCGTTGTTTGATCTTCTTCTGATTTCACTTTTTTCTAAATTGCAGGTTATTGAGAAACTGATCTGCAGCAGTGCCCCTCAATCCACTAGTCTCAACTGCACCAGCACCCTCTCCTCTTCCTCCTCCCCCTACACAAATGCTGCCACCATTGGGAATGACCTAAGAGGTCAAGTTCAACAATCATACATTGGGTGAGTGAAGATGTAAAACAACCAGGATCAATTTTTTCTTACGTTATGTGAAATTTTACGAATTTCGAAGTTTGTTTCAAGCTTTTTTTTACAAGCTCTGAATTTTTTTTAAAATAGATTTGACGAGTTGATGATTTAAACTCAAATAAAAAAGTCCTCATTTTCAAAATCAATTCAAAATTTAGTTTTGTAACTTTAGAGAAAACAATGTCCCAAATATTAATTTAAGTTTTATTTTGTTCACGATTTTCATTTTTTTCAGGAACGTCTCAATTTACGACGGATCCTGCGAGTCATCTGAAAAATTCCTCTATGAAATAGGATTGGGTCAATACACGCCCCTATTCGAACAAGCTTTAATCTTAAAAGTAGCTGACATTGCAGTACTCTCAAACAAGACTCTGAAAGACCTCGGAGTGACGTCAAGCAAAGATCGCAAGAAGATTCTAGAACGATCGAACTCAGTCGTCAAGTCAACTAGAATCTCAAGTTTGAATTCAAACTCAACTCGCCACAACAAAACGTCATTCATTCCGCAATCTACTTTACAAAGAGTGCTTTGAAGATAACTTTTTTATTATTAAAAAAGAATCTCCATTTAAATATCAGACTTTTATTTAAATTCTGCTTATTGTTTTATCAGTAGCTAATTAGAAAAATTGATGTTTTCCTACCTCATTTCTTTAATTTATAGCAAGTGGCTTACTTATCAGCGACGGGGGGGGGGGTGGTCATCCATTTATATATATTCGCCCAATCGCCACCCAATTTTTTCTTCTAATATTTAGTATTTTCCTATGTTGCGACATTTTGCCGATCTACTGTTTTTTTTCCATTTGATATTTTTTCTTTGAATTTTTCAAAATAAGGCGATAGAATTGTGAAACCATGCAACGCCATACATGATTCCATAAAAGCCATGGAAATGAATCCTAGATTGATCCGTGGAACTAGTAGTCGTTCGGTACATTTTGTACACTTTTGCAATCAGGGACATAATATTTGCTTGTTTTCCAAAAAAGGTGTTTTAAAAAGCTTCCTTATCAAAACTATGGTTATCTTGGATGATGCTACAGTTATCTTTTAATTTTTTTTGATAATTTCTGCAAAAACCTTTTCAGCATTTTTATCTAACCATTCTAGTATAATTAATATTAGGAAGTTTTAGTGAGATTCTTGCAAGATATCAGCCCATAGAAAACCAAAACGCCGTAATCGATTCAGAATCGATTGGAATTTCAGATAATGATGTTGTACAGCTTATCAAAGATGATTGTCTTGCACGAAATTTGCAAAGTTTAAAATATTATGTATACTAAAATGATAAGAATAAACTGCTTAACAACAGTTTTTGTAGCATTTACAAAAAAATATAGCAAAAAGATTTTGCAAGATCACTATAACAGCATCCAAGATACTAGTCGCTTTGATAGCGAAGTTTTCAATTTCACTTCTGGGCCGATATATTGCGTCGTTTTAGTTTTCTCTGGGATGATATGTACTGCACAGATGGTAATTATGGAACAATCTCTGGACTTATTTTTAAATAGTAGGGCACCATAGGTGGATTCACATGTGGTTTTAACTATGTTTTAACTTGCTTTTTTTTGTTTAAAGAGTACAAAAAAAAAGAAAATCAAAAATTGAAACAAAAGTCAAAAATATATGCTTCGAAGTGCTAAATTTTGTTTCGACATGTTGTCTTCCAGTGTATAGCCAATTTTTTCATGCCCTAAATAAATGTTTCATTGATAAAAGATAATCTTATTGCTTTGGACTCTCGAAATTTGTTTAAGAAACAAGAAATTTCCAAATATTTTTTTTAAAACTGATTTTTTAAAATAATCGTTCAAATTGCGACTGAAATAGTTTAAACATGATATGTTCACTTTTTTTGATATTTTTTCGCTTTCTTTCCAAATTTTTGAATACTGAAACGTTAAAAAAATCACGTTAAAAAATAAAAAATCAAAAATGAAACTATTGACCAGGAACTATATGCATATATGCATATAGTTTTGAATGCCTAGTTTCCTTGTTGACTTTGATAATGAGAATTTCACTAAGAAATCAGAGTTTGTTACTAGCTGTCTTGTTAACTTAGCTTTCGCTGTTCAAGCTAAGTTTTCACGAAAGTGAACTCACACTTTACAGGTGCCCACAATTACGCGAGCACAGAGGCTGATCAAAATGTTTCCGTTTTCTCATCGTTTTTGCTGCTCCCAAATGTTTGATATTGGGAGGAACTTTACTTCAGACCCGAACATCAATCACTGTGGTTCGTGAAAAAAGGGACAAATTCAATTTTGAATAATAAAAGTTTTCTGAGTCATAAAAGTTATAAAAGATAGCGTAAACTTTTAATTTCATTTTGGTCCTTAAATGGTGTTAACATTTTTGACACTTTTGATACAAAAACTTTTAAACTATCTTTTAAAATTAACTGTTAGCAACAGTAAGAACCGATACGATAATCAACAGTTACTGCTGCTTTACATAATCTGAGCAATAGCTTAACTTATCAAATTCAAGAAAATGAAGTTTATATTTGTCCCCTTTTCAGAAACCGAAGGCGATGTTTGAAGATGTCTTGATGCAAATGATATCGTCCTCCTCTGGAAAGCCATTAGACGAGAGTTTTAAAAAAATTGTCGGGATGTTTACGCGGAGGTAACAAATGCATTGGACCTCTTCCCAGGCTGAAGTGTTCTATTTACGTTTCGACATGTTCAAAAACAGCGTTTCCGAAAATAGCCCTTTCGATCAAACACAATGTAGAAACATAGTCGAAAATTTGGTTTAAACATATGGGAAAACTATTTCAGTCGAATTTACCCGAACAAAAGTTTTGTCGAAACATAGCGGAACACAAAATCGAAACATTTTCGAAACTTTATCGAGAAATCACAAATTTGAAATATGGCCGTGTTAATGGACCATAGGCTGTTTGGTTTGTTTCGGTCAAAGTTGTCCGCTTAAGGAGATTGGAAACAGGTTACAAAATCTGACACTCTCTTATCCCGCATTTAAGAAAAGTGAAAACAAATCGAAATATAATCGAGTCCCATGTTACGTTCAGACAACAAAATTCGACTAAAAATGGATTTAAATCTATTTTTATTATTATATATGTTTTTTTTATTATCACTTGGAATCCATTATAATGGTTTTTATAATAAGTAGGAAATCACATTAAGATTGATTTTTTTCCACTTTATTTTGTTTTGCGCGTCGTGCAAAATTTTGCAAGAATTTCTGCCTTTATCAAATGAGTTATGCGGAAATTTTGCAAATCTAGTGTACGGCCTAATCCATTTCAAAACCTAAACTCAAATTGCAAAAAAGATTCCATTAAGCTCTCCTCCCCCCCCAACGTTTGTCCCTTTGCTCACCTTCAATCCCCATAACGTTTGCCCCTTTGCTCCCCTCCCCAACTAAACCCCCCCTCACCTTCACCCCCCCCCCCCCCCCACCTGAACAACCCCCCACATGAACCTCCCCACAACCCCCCCCCCACCTGAACACCCCCCCCCCACCTGAGCAACCCTCCCCCCACCTGAACAGCTCAAAATTCGTTGCTTAGATTTCATATGGGCAGTACAAATATATAAATAATAAAAGTATAGGTTTACCACTGGTAACTAAGATATCTAACTAAGATTAAAACAGAATAAAAAGTAATGTGTGAATTAAAACTGACTGTAGTCTAAAAAGAGCAACTAGTAACTCGAAGTCCAATGGACTTCGTAGAGTGTACTTTAACTGGTACTTGATTAAACATTAAAGGTCAAGGTTACAACATACTAAAATACTAAATCACAACATTCCCCACTGCACAAAAATTTATATTTGCCTGCTCCTCGATGTAGCCAATATCACTCATATACTCCATTCTCCCCTCACTCCACCAGGGCCAAAGTTGAAACAAAAAGTAACCGCGTTTAGCACCAATGGAAAATTACAGAGAGTACAAATTACAATGGAGGTGATTACATGGTAATATATACAGGCTACCTACAAGTTTACACAGGTATCTACAGTGAATGTACAAAATGATATGTTTAATTGGGGTTATGTGGCATTTATACAAATAAGAAAAACTAACCTAAATCACTAACTAATTAAATGGGTAATCCACTGGATAGTAGCTCAAGCAAATAGAAGAAATATAATGGTACGAGTTTAAAAGTTTTTAGAGTTTCAAATTGTGGCGTTAAATTTGTCATGAAAGCTATCGGCCTCCCTCCTTGCATCTGCATCAATGCCTGAGGATATGTCGCTGCCTTCCTCATCCTGAATGTTCGTACCAACTTCTACCAATGGAGATGATAAACTCGCGACATTTGCTGATCGAGAAGTGGTTGTTGAGGAGGGGCCTTGTGTGGTTGTGTGGTTTCCGCCACCAGTGTTGGGTGCCAAGGTATATCTTCAACTGAGGTCAAGTAATCTGAAGGGGACGCCGTAGAATAAATTGCCTGAGTCCGTGGGCTCTTTGAGTTAGAGAACGTAATTAGAGGTTCGTCATCGGAGTCTTCTACACTGATGGTCTCCGTTCAAAGCGTCACTTGGTCAATATAACGCCTGTCTCCGTAAAATTTAGGGGGACCTGGATTTCTTCTTGAGCGGGGTTAGATGGATACTGGAGTTTTTGGCGTCTCCAATGTCTTCTCCGGAGAGCTGTCTGGGTCATTGCTTGTGCACGTTGGAATTGTGGTCGTTGTCTGCGTATTACATACAGTTTCCGCGTCCGTACCCAAGTAATCGTCAATCACTTTATCCCAAAAGTCTAACTCTAGCGATGAATCTAAATTATTAAGCGAGGATTTTGAACCTTTCGTGTTCGGGGTGTTGGTTCTCCTCCTTTTATCTGCCTTTCCTCCTGTTGGTATGTAACGCGACGATGGGCCTCCTGCATTTGAGTCCGGTCTCTTCGACGGGGTGTTTCTTTTTCGCTTGCCTGCTAAATCATGATTGTTAATCAGGGAGTTCGGTACTGCCAAAAAGTTACTAGGGACCGACGGTTGGGTTTTAGTAAAAGCTAAGTCAGATTTTCTGATCACAAGTCCGTTGTCTAATGTAACCGTGTGCTTCGTATCTGACAATGGCTTTCCCCCCAATGGTTTAAAGTATGGTTCGCCTTCCCTCCGGTTAACTGGCTTCCTAAACCAGTTACCTCCTTAGCTGAACGGGTTTGACAGTGGGGCTCGCTAGAGATTTCTGTCTGCTTTATCCGAAGGGTCGCTCTCATACCCTCTTTTGTCCGATGCTATGTTTTCCAGATAGCCATCCTCAAACGCGTCGTCTGCTCCCCAGTCTTGTGCTCTATCCTTTGATAGTATTGACTTCCCCTTGTCTAAACTAATCGCGTGAGAGACCAGAGTTTTCTAAAACGTGTTGGGGGATCTATTAAAATGTCTTGCAAAAGGAGAGCATCCAATGGATGATTGTTTCGTCGAACGATTATTCCACATGATTTTATCAATAGACGTATTTAAAGATGGTTTTGGTTCGTTAAACGACATTGCCAGAAGCTTAGTTTTAACAGTATAAATGAGTCGCTCTACGACTCCGTTGGATCTGTGATCCCCAACAGTACATAAAATTTATTTAATATTGTTCTTCTCGCAGAAGTTTCTAAAATCGAAAGAAGTTAAACATGACCCATGGTCGGCTTTAAT